GTCCAGCTCTCTGTTGTGGCCTGGAAAGGCAGTGGAGGATGGCCCAAGTGCTTGGTCCCCTGCACCCACGTGGGAGACCAGGAAGAAGCTCCTGGCTCCTGGCTTTGGATTGGCATAGCTCCAGCAGTTGTGGCCATATGGGGAATGAACCAATGGAAGGAAGACCTTTCTTTTTGTCTCTCTCACTGTCTGTAACTCTACCTGTCAAATAAATGAATAAAACCTTTAAAAAAATAAAAATAAAGTGTGATAAAAAGAAAAAGGCACAAAGTGGTGTATACACACTGAAATTCCATGAAAACTTATGTAGATCACAAACTGAAAGTAGACAGAATTTTGAAGATAAAGATGTCTGTTTTTAGATAGAAGACAGAAAAACATAGGTCACACAAAGGAAGCAGCACAATTTTCAAGAACACTTGAGACCTGAGAGACCGAGGTTAGGAGGAGGGCCTACTACTGCTTTCAAAAATTACCCTGAAAAACCATGACCTTTTATGTAAAGAAGATAGTGTGAAATGGGTTAAAAGGGAAAGTGGATGATCCAAGTTCAAGCTCAGGGAAACTAAATTCTTACAATGACTATAGGGAGAGAAGACAATACAGCATACCCCTAAAAAATGCTTAAACCAGTCCAAAATGCCAACAAGCATGTGAGTTTTCTGAGTTGGAGAAATCATGTTAGTTAGGATGGACAAGGCAGCTGTTTAAATTGATGGGAAAGGAATCACGTATCTGATAACTTCTATCCATGTATGACATACATCTCCTAGATATGATTCTACAGATAACCCCTAGGACTTAACAAGGGATACTCGTCAACCCTGGACTAGAGTGACATGTTTTAACAAAAATACTAAATAATTGAACATTTTGATTTTCCAGGTTTTTTTTTTACACAATAACACAAACCCATCACCACACACAGCAGGCATGAACATAGATGTCCACAACTTACACCAACAAAACCCATCAGCTACCAGTTGGCAGATGATGTGGGATGACCAAGGGACCTCCATTTCCTCTCAAGTACAGTGAGTCAACATATTTCTTTCAATTACCATCACTTACTTTAGCCAGGTAGTTTTTCATGAACTGCTTGAAATATAACCAATGTTGCTTAACTGACTGGCTTCAAAACAAACGGCACACACATGGCCTGGCTACTAGATGTTGTGTTAACTGTAAAGACCAGTAGCCTTCCCTGTCCAAATTCTAAATTCTATTGCCTCCTCTGTAGGTCACCAGACAACTGAAAACCATCTGTGCACTGCAGGCTAGCTTTCAGAGGAAATAAATGATACTAGACATCTTGGGTAAATGTATAACTAAACACAGAAGGACTTGCATGGATATGAACTTGAATGTGCTCTTCCGGGATTTTTGCAAGCAAACACAGTGACTTAGTGAGCCAGTTCAAATGGACTGTATCAAATACACACACAAAAGCCTAAAGGAGAGGTTATAATGAAAATAAATAATTTTGTTCTAAAACATCTCTTTTAGCTCTACAAAGTTGTAAATAATATAGAGTCACATTTCCTTCAAGGGAGATTTGCCACTACGTGCCCCCAAGTTCACCACTGGCAGAGAAACTCCTGAAGGTTTAATGTATGCCTTGGAAGAACTTTTTGGCCAACCCTTTGCCTAGTGTGAAGACTGTGTGTAGTGGAACCACAAACTAAGTAAACAGATCTCCTGGAGCTGTGCTACTACCCAGCACTACAGCACCAGATGCATGCACGTCCTGAACATCTAACATGACTAAGGAACTAAACTTGAATCTCATTTATTGAAATTTAAAATTGGATACTCAAGCCAGTTGTTAGGAAACTTTTAAATATGTTCAAATATGCTTGTAGTAACTTGGGTAGGAACCTATTTTTCAAATGTAAGTATCCAAATTGAGACAGTACATGGATACACAGTGGATTTTGAAGATTTAGTGTGAAAAAGTAATGGAAAACACCCTTCCATAATTTCTTTGTACTGCCTACCTGCTGAAATATTTTTAACATTCTAGACTAAAGAGAATATATGCATATTTTAAAGTTATATTTCACTTTTTTTTTGGGGGGGGCAGGCAGTGTTAGTGTGAGAGAGAGAGACAGAGAGAAAGGTCTTCCTTTCCGTTGGTTCACCCCCTAAATGGCCAACACGGCCGGCACTGCGTCAATCCGAAGCCAGGAGCCAGGTGCTTCCTCCTGATCTCCCATGCAGGTGCAGGGCCCAAGGACCTGGGCCATCCTCCACTGCCTTCCTGGGCCACAGTAGAGAACTGGACTGGAAGAGGAGCAATGGAGACAGAATCCGGTGCCCCAACCAGGACTAGAACCTGGGATGCCGGCACCACAGGTGGAGGATTAGCCAAGTGAGCCATGGTGCTGGCGTATATTTCACTTTTTAAATATAGCTGTTAAGAGCCATCTGCTGGACACATTGGCACAAAGCAGGCTGATCAGCAAAGGTGAAGACCTGGTGATAATGAGTTAATACTGCAGATCTGAGTCTGAAATAGAAGACGATGTAACAGCATAGCAGGTTAAGCCACTGCTTGGGATGCATGCTTCTCAAATGGACACTGGTTTGTGTCCCAGCTGCTCCACTTCTGATCCAGCTCCCTGATAGTGGCCTGGGAAAAGCAGCAGCAGAGGGCCCAGGTGTTTGGGCCCCTACCACTCATGTGGGAGACCTTAATGAAGCACCTGGCTTTGGACAGACCCAGTCCTGGCCATTGCAGCCACCTGGGAAGTGAACCCATGGATGGAAGATCTTTCTACCCTTCTGTAATTTTCAAATTAATTAAAAAAAAAAAAAAACTCTTGAACTCAATCTATGCTGTCAACCAGGGATTTAAAATGTTTATACATTCTTTATAACCCCATGAAAAATGACTTCAAGTGACCATGAACCCACATTTATGACTGCTTCACTGTATAACCTGGGAGTTCTGCACTGGTTCTTCTGAGACCATTGGCTTCCACATCCATGGGCTCTTGTTCCTGCCTTGTTAGTCTTCCCATGCCTTCTTTCTACTCTACGATCTGCCCCATAAGTCCTTCTGATCTACCAGACAAAATCCTCTCTCCATCTATTTGCTTTTTATTCTTTTTCTTCTTTTTTCTAGTATTAGTATTCTATCATGTATAATACTCTATTATTTTCTTTCATATATACCAGGTTTTACTTTTTGTCTCTTGTGCCTTTGTCATACAAACTATTTCAGTGGGTTTTGTAGTCTTGGCTCTCACATTTAGGTCTCTGATCCATTTTATACTGATTTTTGTGTATGCAAGCTGTCAAACTCCAAATGCATTCTTTAAGGCTGTCCCTTAAGCATTTGTTGGAGACTATTTTTTCCCTACTGGATATTCTTGGCACCTCTGTTAAAAATCAACGTATCATGGATGTACGGGTTTAATTCTAGACTTTCAACTCTATTCCATTTACATATCCGTGTGTTCTTAAGACAGTACTATAGTTAGGATTACTTTTGTGTTGTAGTAAGCCTTGAAATCAGGAAGTATGGGTCTTCTAACTTTGTTCTTCAAGACCGTTTTGGCTATTTTGGGTCCCTTATATTTCCATGTGAATTACTGGATCACTGTGTCAATTTCTGCAAAACAAAAACAGCTGGTTAGTTGGTTTTAATGTGTGTTTATTACAACAGGTAGTTGCCTGATTAGGCTCATATAATAACCATTTAAAGGACTGCCAATTGTCATTGCTATGGACTTCAGAACTAACTATAAGCATTCAGCATTTCTAAGAATGCTTGATCCTCAGGGAAGATGGTGACAAGTTAAGGGAGAAAAAATGAGTCTGGAGGTTGGATACAAACATGATTAAGTCCCGCATCTGCCACTTCAGAAGGATTTTGATCCACTCCAAGACTGGGAGGTACTAACATTGACAGAGCAGTGTAGTGAGAATGGAGACAGAATCATAGAGGCCCACACAGCTTCTTCCCTCACTCCTCACCTTCCCATTCCTTCAGGGCACTTCAAAGACTGTGCTATCACATGTTTCCAGGACTCACTGGCCTGGGAATTGGCTGTGGGCCTGACAACCATCTGTACTTCTTGTCTACAGCTGTAAAGAGGAGACTCTTGGGTATAGCTACAGGAGAGGGTGGTACCCACACACTGCCATCCTTTTCAAGTCCTTCACATCTACCTCCCTGGATTTAGAATGATGTAGGACCACCCTGTTCCACTCTACATAGGCCCAAGTCTGATTTAAATTAGATCAGAAACCAGGCTCACAAAAATAAAGACCTCAAGCAGGCTGACAAGGAGGTAGCACAAGCTCAAAAGCTTTACTGGAACCAGTTTCTGACCAGGCCTGGCAGCCTCACATACAGCTCAGCTGAGAGCCCACAGTGCATGGGAGTATAGATAATAGGATGTGGTGACAGTACAAGTAAGTAAATACCTACAACTTCTACCTTTCTGGATTATGGAAGTACTTCTCTCTGGGTTTCCTTATCCTTTCAAATATGAGAACACCATCAGTGTTCTCTTAGATACTAAGTCACTGTGTCTCTCATCCAGTGTACCTCATTGGCCAATGTTTGACAGACAAAAATTCCTTCTGAGCTATGTTCCATCAATTGACCTTGAAGCTGAATTCTTGGAATAAAGAAACCTTCACGTCAGCATTTGTAACATGAATGGGAAGGAACCCTAAAATCCATGTCAGGGGAGTTGGTATGAAAATGCGAGGGTTATATGCTCCTCTTTATGAACTTTTAGAGACTACTGCTAACCTGTCACATGTGAACTACACGTCAATCAGGATGAGTATGACTCAAGGACAATGAGAAGTAAAGAAACCACCAATGGCCACAGGACCATTCACTTCCCTCCTTGCTGACAGCCCAACCTCAAGTCTATGCCTTCTAGGGGAGGACAAAGACACAGTTGGGTCCCTAGAGGCATCTCTCCCCTTTTGGGAAAGGAAAGCACCATCACCAGTACAAACCACGTCACAAGCCTATGTGTGCTCATGTCACTTGTTTATAATATGATATCATATCATCCAGAGTTTGGAATGTGACTGTTGAGGATTGTGGTGGGCCTGTGGGGGCAGGAGTGGAGCCCGTCTGTGAAGAGCTGGGCTCCTGGCTCGGGCCAGAGTGCTGCCAAGTGTCGCTCGGTGCTGTTCCAGGTCTGTTCCATGTCTGGCCGCTGAGAGAACCAGTTCTCTTCTGACCCACAAAGTAATCTGAAGGTGGGGCAAACTCAGGATCCCTCTCAGCCCGAAGCTCTGACTGCCTCTTCGACCAGTATCCAAAGGAAAAATCTAGTGAAGACAGAAAAGACAGCTATCAGAACCAGTTAATCAATCAGTTGAACTTACTGTTATTATTTTTCAGTTGCTGCATGTTTTCTTAAAAGCCACCCCCAAGGGATCAGCATTGTAGCATGGCAGGTAAACCTGTAACCTGCAAAGCCAGTCTCACATGTATACTCATTAGTGTCCTGGCTGCTCCATCTCAGATCCATCTCCCTGCTAAGGGCCTGGGAAACGCAGTGGGACATGGCCCAACTGTGTGGGGTCCTGTCAACCATGTGGGAAACCCAGCTGAAGCTCCTGGCTTTGGCCTGGCCCGCCACAGCCATTGTGAGCCTCTGAGGAATGAAGCACCAGATGGAAGATCTCTTTCTCTCTCCAAAACGGACTTACGAAAAAGATAAATAAATCTTTAAAAAAAAAAAAAAGAAAAGCAAAAGCCCAAATTTTCTGGAGAACATGGATGGTAGTAATAAAACCACTTTGTTGGGTGTAACACCAACAAAAATCATGAGAAATCAGGCTAAGAAAAGGGAGTGACTAATTCCAGATGGGTAAAGATTTGGGGAAGACTTGATGGAGATGGCTACTAGGCTTTGGAGACATTGCCCAAAAGGCACTAAAAATAATTCAAGACTGAAATATACAAAAATGGCAAAGTGCAATCATCTGCTTGACATGACAAACTGGGCACTTCACACCAGAACACAAAGGGACCTGTCCAGATTGAGCTTGGTATTTCATCTCTGTTTCTAACAATGGCTCTTGCATTCCTCCTTGAGTTCTGGCTCTCATCAGCTCAAACAGCAGGAACTAAAGTTTTACTGAAAAGATTTTTTTCAAAGATGCATCAGCCACAGTACTCCAAAGACAGGCTGCTGCAGGTACTCTGTGTACTTTACAGAAACATTTGACAGTCAATTTAAACACCCAATGGAACCAGAGGTAAATCCAGGTTAAGACACTGACATGCAGAGCAGGTTCATGTGAACATATGAGATACTGATAGAACCACAGGGTGTATTAGAACTTCCATCTTTTTTTTTTTTTTTTTATGATCAGTTATTTTTATCTACTTGAAAGGCACAGCAAGAGAAATAAAGAATGACAGGGACACAAGGAGAGAGATCTTCCAACCATTAATTCACTCCTTAAATGCCTACAGCAGCCAGGGCTGGGGCAGGCCAAAGGCTGGAGCCAAATACGGAATTCCATCTGGGTCTCCTATGAGGATCACAGATGCCTAAGCATCTATGGAATCACCCGGTACTCCCTGGATTCATCAGTAGGAACATGGATGAGAAGCAGTGGTGAGACTCAATTCTAGGCACGACAACAAGGGATGCAGGTACTCCAAGCAGTGGCTTAACTGGCGGTGCTATAACACCTGCCCCTGCTAACCCTCTTAATTCTTTCAAACTGGTTCCTGAAAAGTGTCATTCCAAAGCAGTGAAACCACATGAGGGCAGAATGAATTTGAAACTAACCCCAGCTTCTTCTAAAAAACCCGAGTCTCTGGTCTTCTGTAATCACCAACATCTAGTGTGTGGATGTGGAGAAGAATCAAGTTCAAGGATCTAGAATGTTGTCTAAGCATCAAAGGAGCACTGAAACTCACCAAAATCAGGCTTGGACAAAAAGCGTCCTTTGCAGTGCCCTCCCACTGGAAAAGTGCTACACCTCACAAGCACCTCTCTCACCTTTTCCACGGTCCCACTCCCGCACGTGGGGCACTCCGGGCTTGGTGTCCTTCCTCTCCTGGACAATGACTTCTACTTTGCTACTCTGGGTAGCAGGATGTGTAGGTGGCCCAGGCTCTGGTTCCAGGATCAAGGGTTCAGTAACATCTCCATCTATTTATTGTATGAGAATAAGTATTTTAATAAACCTTAAGGCTATTAAAAAAAAAAAAAAAGCTAATCCTGAAAGGAAAGTGATAACAAATATTTATGGAACAACTATCTATACATCCCAGGCAGAGGATTATTTAAGTATTTTGTACACAATGTCATGTAATTCTTGTAATACTCTCACACAATGATACAAACTGGTAAGAGCCAGAATTCAAATCCAAGACTGGATGAATTTCATATCTCTGCTGTCCCCAAACCAATAATCTAAAGATGAGAAATTCCAAAGTACTCAACTAAAGTAAACAATCTCACACAAAGCAAGAGAGTAAGAATGACAAACAGCTGCAGTTCTTCAATTCTGGTCATATTATAAAAATTCAAAAGAAAACAAGTTTTTAAAAAGCACTGTGGTACCACTGCCTATCTTTTTGGCAATACCAGATGCTTAGGGAACACAGCAAAAATATACAAAACACACAGAGCTTTACAAGTCATAGGGACAGCATTTATATGAAACAAAACAGAGAGTTTCCAAATTCCCAATGTTCCTGGTCTCTTTTCAAAGCAAAACTGCAGTTTTGTTCAGGGGTTAGAAAATGGCCCCTGGCTCTATACAAGGTTTTTGTGAGAGCTGGAGAGGCTCCCATGTCCCTTACTCCCCATACTCCCTTTTTTCCTTTTAACTGAATGTTCCAAGTTTAAATTGGTTTCATAGCCACCTTGCTAGAGAGGCCATTTCCCAGCTTCCGCTGCAAGTAGGGGTGGGCCAGAGAGACTGAGCTCTGGCTAGTGAGATGGCACACAGGGGTGGAAAAGGAAGCTGCTTCCTCTTCCATCTCTTTGCCCTTTCTCCTGGGCTGGATCATAAAACAGAGGATGATAAGCAAGTGTTGACCATAAATGAGAGCAGCACTCTAGAGAAAGGCAGAAACAGCAAGCGGGAGGAAGTCCAGGACTGGATGATCATGTAGGACAGAGCCAGAACCTTTTCTGACACCCACCCACCCAGGTGGGTGTAACAACAGAGGAATAAGCTTCCCAGTAGTTTTGGCCATTCTATGTAGGGGTCTACTTGTTACGGCAGCTTATCCTCTACTCCTATCATAAGCAAGCCTAACCACAGCATTTCCAAGGGAAAATGTGCTTCAAATCAACAACTTCTGCAGCGTAATTGTTTTGTAACTTTTGGTGAGTTTTCTAAGTTTTTTTAATTTTATTTGCTGATATTGTCAATATTTTTAAGAAAATAAATAATGACCAATTAAAAACTACAGCCCTAGATAAATAAGTTAAAGCTAAAACATATAAGCATACTACTATATTTTATCTTAAAATAGCTTAATTCTAAGTTATGAAATTGTGCATCTAAGAAGCAACCCAATGTATCATTTGTTAATATCCTGATCTATGCCCCCAAAATACTTGAATGTAAATCTACATCATCTTGGTAATAAAATGTACTCCTGGCAGTACCTTAATTGTCAACTGCTTACTCAGAGACAAAATGAGAGGGATAATTTCTATATTGCCAGCCCTATTAGTGAGACATCTAAAGTTTTCTCTTTTGAAGCTTTTAAAATTCAAGCCAGGATATACCTCTGTTTTCTTCTTCTCCATCTTCTTTGGATTTCTTCATCTTTTTCTGTCGAAGTTTAGCAAGTCTTGCTTCTAATATAGCCTTTCGCTTTTCTTTTATGTTTTCTCGTTTTGTTCTCTGATCTGTTGTCTAAAAGGAACAGAAAATTAGAAAATTATTGGCTTGAAGACAAATTTGTAATATTTCTGCTACAAGCACAAAATAATATTCTTTTAAAAACAAACTGATTTTCATGCCACCTCCAAAAAGCTACCCTTGAGATCGAGAAACATGAAGATCTATGAAGTTCTCTTACAATAGTCCTTTGAGGGCTTAGGAAGTTAAGTATGAGTTTACAAGGCATCTTGGAAGTCTCAAGATTCAGGAAAACCATCCAGTTCTGCTCTAATCCTTAACTGCTTCTATTTTCTCACCTAGACCATCCCAAAAGTTTTTTTTTTTTTTTTTTGATAGGCAGAGTGGACAGTGAGAGACAGAGAAAGGTCTTCCTTTTCTGTTGGTTCAACCCCAATGGCCGCTGCAGCTGGTGCACTGCACTGATCCGAGGCCAGGAGCCAGGTGCTTCTCCTGGTCTCCCATGCAGGTGCAGGGCCCAAGCACTTGGGCCATCCTCCACTGCACTCCCAGGCCACAGCAGAGAGCTGGACTGGAAGAGGAGCAGCTGGGACAGAACCGGTGCCCCAACCGGGACTAGAACTTGGTGTGCCCGCGCCACAGGCACCTATTAGCCTATTAAGGCGTGGCACTGGCCAAAAATATCACATTTAAGACATCAAAGTCATGTAGAGTATTTCTGAGCAGTTCTAATGTTAAAGTCTGAACCACCAAAATACTCCAGCAATTGCCTTTTTGCAACCTACAATGGCATTTTGATCATTAATTTTTAAAAAAAGATTTTTATTTATTTATTTGAAAGGCAGAGTCAGAGAGAGACACAGACAGAGAGCGAGATCTTCCATCCACTGGTTCACTCCCCAAATGGCTGCAATGGCTGGAGCTGAGCTGATCTGAAGCCAGGAGCCAGGAATTTCTTCTGGGTTTCCCATGTGGGTTCAGGGGTCTAAGGACTTGAGCCATGTTTGCTGTTTTCCCAGGCACATAAGCAAGTAACTGGACCAAAAGTGGAGCAGCTGGGACTCAAACCAGCAACCCATATGGTATACTGCAGCCGCAAATGGTGGCTTTACTCACTAAACTACAGTGCCAGCCCCTTGATCATCAATTTTTTAAATTCCAGTTTAATTCATTAGATTTTTGTGGCTGTATGTTCCAACAACAAACCAACTACTCAAACCCTTCTGAGCATCAACTTTGAATGTCATCTGTACCTGTTCACGCAGCATCTCTAACGTCTTCATTTGCTTGTTTCTCAACTCTTTGTCTCGGGCAAAGGCAAAATATCCAACACCAAGTTGCCGGGCCTCTGCAATAATTCAACATTATCCAAAAGATTAGATTACCTTGATCAGTAAACTATACACAAAACAAATTTCCTATCAAAGCAAAAAGAAACAGTGTTACTTGGCCCAAGTTTTTTAAAAAAGCAAAAAAAAACCTAAGAACTCATTTTCATCTTATTTGGTGATAAGCATAATGAAGATTCATTAATTCTTCAGCCATAGGCTTTCTCCACTTTTGGAGAATAAAATCTTAGAATATGAGTAGTTTTTAGGCCAAGAAAAGAATAAAGGAGATATCTCAAATTTCCAAAGCAGAAAATTCTGTCAGAGCTTTTGCTTTATGAATACTTCCCTTTGTGTTTGTCACTCATTCAATATATCTATACACATAAAAAGATTTAAAAAGCCACAAGAAAATAATGATACCATTTTCCCGAATATCTTCATAATGAATAGGCCCCACTGGCCTTCTCAGAGCCTCCCTTTCTTCTTCTTCCCATTGCTGGCGCTGAAGTTCTTTTCTCATATCTTCAGATAATAAGGTTTTTTCATTAGCAGGACTGATGAAACTACAAGGAAAACAGAGCAAAAACTATCTTCAGGTAAGGACTGTTGGATCATGGAAAAGAATCCTAAGAACACTATTTAATAAAGAAGATGGTTCTGACCTAAAATATCAACCATCTTAATCACTACTTGAGTACGATGGGATTTTGCCTTGTTTCTATGCTTGATCTTAGCCAAAAGCTTGAGAAGTGATGCCTTGTTACTTTAGACAAAGAACTTTCCTCCCTACATCCTGGTCCTGGACAGGATGGGGGTTGCCCAGGCAAGGAGGAGGAGTCTCTCATCCAGGGGCAAGGAAGCTCCTAACTCTACGGCCCACACAGAGGCTCCTGCCCTTGCACATAGCCAAGGTTCCTGGTCTCCTTTCTTTGTGCTCAGCTCAGGTATACCTGCAGGATCTGAACCTGGAGCAGCTTGCAAAGTATTCACACACAAGTTATCCTTGTCAAGAGCAATTTCTTTCCCTTGGATGTTTTGGCAACAAGTTTCTTAAGCTTGTTTCTGGCCTCAGAGAAAAATGGAATGTTAAGATTCTTACTTCAAAAATATAAGGACTGTGAATCTAAATGTTAATTTTATTCCATTGGATCATGGAAAGGAAACATAAGAACACAATTTAACAAAGACAATTTTAACTTGCCTCACTACCCCACCTACCCATGGGATAACAAAGTGTACTTTCTCAAACCCCTTTCTCCACAAAAGCTAGCTTGCTCTGGGCTCACTCTGTAGCTTTTACTGTGGAATGAGACATCCTTACAACTGAACAGATAGAGTTCCACTTGACCTCATTAGTAACTGGACAATATGGATGGTCAACCACTGGGGTTGTTCCCTGAGTGCATCATATGTGCATGCTAACTACCAAAAAGTGCTTCAAAAAACATTATTCTAAATTTTAAAAAGACCTTACTGGAGCAACAAAGACCATTCAGTATAAAACAGCATCTCCCACATAACAACTCCTGTGGTAGCACTGGGGACCTGGGCACATACTTACAGTCTCCCCTGAAGATTCTTATCCATCTCCAGCAGATCTGGCAAATCCTTTCTCATACAGCGCCGGGATCGGCCTAAGGAGTCCACATAATCCACCCTGAAAATAAAGTAAAATGTGAAGGCTTTGACCACCACAAACATGTCCCTAATTCAGGGTTTCAGTTTACAGTGAAGAAATAATATAGCCCTTACTACCAAGAAGACCCCTCAACCTGGGAGGCCACCACCACTGATAAGAAAATGCTTTGTTGGGACTGACACAGTGGCATAGCAGGTTAAGCCACTGCCTGCAGCACAGGCATCCCATATGGGTGCCATTTTGATTCCCAGTTCCCTGCTAATGGCCTGGGAAAGCAGCAGAGATTGGCTCAAGTGTTTGGGCCCCTGCACCCATGTGGGAGACCCAGAAGAAGATTCTGGCTCCCAGCTTCGGTCTGGCCAGCTCTGGCCGATGCAGCCACTTGGGGAGTGAACCAGGGGATGGAAGAAAATCCTCTGTCAAGGGAAACCTGATGCACAAATTCATTGTGCCCTTTCCTGGATCTTTATTTTAGAAACCCTAGAAACTAACCTATCACTTATGGTTCTGATTTCAAAGGGAAGTCATCTATATAGATAAAACCTTGCAGCAGCATCTAAGAGTCACTGTAATCTAGCTGAGATAGTTGCACACGCTTTGTTAGCCTCTTACCTCTGCCAGATACACAGATTCCCCACTTATTCAGTTACTCACAGCCTTCTCAAGTCTCAGTTTTTATTCTTGCCCTTCTTTCTTTTAAATGGTACAGTTTTTCCCAATGAATGAAAAATGTCTTAATGTAAGTTAAGCTATTTTTTTTTGGGGGGGGGGGCTCTTTTCAGTTAGCAGCAACCTAAGAACCACACCACACCACACCACACCTCCCTCCCTTTCCTTTTTTTTTTTTTTTTTTAAAGATTTTACTTATTTGAAAGGCAGCATTACAAAGAGAAATCAAACATTTGCTGGTTCACTCCTCAAATGGCCACAATGGTAGGGCTGTGGCCAAAGCCTGGTACTTCATCCGTAACTCCCAGGTGGGTGCAGGGGCCCAAACACTTGGGCCATCTTCCACTGCTTTCCCAGGCAAATTAGCAGGGAGCTGGATTGGAAACGCAGCAGCCAGGACTCGATCCAGTGCTCATATAAGATGCCGGCACTGTAGCTGACAGATTAACCTGCCACACGGTAACTCTGGACCTCATACCTCTTTCTTATATTTGTCCAAACTATACAGTAAGTAGACACAGAGAAGCTAAGCAGACAGCAAGAAACAAATGAACAGTTTTAACTTCCTAGAAGAGAAAATATGGACAGATTTTCATAAAAACACTTCATTTACATTGTGATACATCAGATGTTTTATTTTTTAAATTATGGGCAGGGAATCTCAGATAACCTTTAGCAGAGTGCTCAACGGACAGTAAAGAGCCAATAAGCATCAGTTTGAGCAATTCAGTCAGATTTAGCATAAATCTGGCTTCACTTTTTTTTTTAGCAATTTCATTCCTCACTAGTAAAGCTGATTTTAGTTCTTACTATAGTCTTAACACTGATTATCGTAAGAAATAAAACCTCCAACTGCAGAAAGGAATTTATTCCTTCATTTTCTTTTTTCAAAAAATGAGTTATGAAAGAAAACTGACCAGATGGTCTGTGTAATTATTTACAGTATTTCAGGGAGAGATTTTCCACCACCTGGGATTTAAGTACCAAAAGGCTTTTTACAAGCACTTAGAATTTTGGAGCTTAATTTAGAAATAAGAAGTAAGACCAGAACTCCCTCCAGTTCCTCTTTCATCATATGGCAGCATGTAACACATTCAACTACCCTCCAAGCTGTTCCAATCAAAGGCAAATTATTTGCAATCATAGGCATATTAATAAGCACAAACATTATTAAAAGATATTAAACCTCCAAAGGAGATAAGATTTCTGAAATGACAACCAATCACAGTCAAGATGGCAGCCAGCAGCTGCTCTACCCAATGAGCAATCCCTTACTGAACATCCATGACAAAGCCTGACTGTGCTGAGGCTAACACAAGGAGGGCTGCAGTCAAGCCACATTCGAAGCGCTCTGGGAGTTAAGATGAATGCCTGGGAAACACATAATAACAATACTAGGCAGGATAAAAGACTACCAAAAGTTGGCCTCAAATATTTATCTTTCTGGTAATGAGGACTGGCATGTTTCAGTAATAAATCAAAACAAAGACCCAGAGAGCACTGACACGATGTCACAGTAGAAAAATCCACACCTAACCTCAGTCTGCTGTGGCAGTCAGAAACACAGGCCTGCTGAAAACACTGCAAAAAAATCCCCTTCAGGCTCTAAGTGTAATGTTAATGAAACATATGAATTTCCGACTTAGAACTGGGTTCCATCTCTAAAGTCTTATTATGTAAACACAAATATTCCAAAATCTGACAAAATCTGAAACCCTAAACACTTCTGATCTCAGCATTTGCCTTAAGGGATACTCAAGCTGTAAGGGCATTTTCATTCTCGACTCTACTGATACACTGGTCTCTTGGTCTCCTCTATCACTCACCTACACAGATAAAATTCAGAAAAATTTCAGTAATAAAAATTTTTGTTTTAAGGATTTCTTTATCTATTTTAAAAGTCAGAGTTACAGGGAGGAAGAGACACAGAGAGAGATATCTTCCATCTACTGGTTCACTCCCCAAATAGCCACCAACAGCCAGCACTGGGTCAGGCCAAAGCTAAGAGTCAGGAACTTCAGATGGGTCTCCCACATGGGTGACAGAGGCCCAAGTACTCGGGCCATCCTCTGCTGCTTTTCCTGGGCCACTCGCAGGGAGCTGGAGCAGAAGGGACTTGAACTGACATCTATCGCCATCCCAGGCAGTAGCTTTATCCACTACACCACAGTGCTAGCACCTCAGTAGTAAAGTTTGACCAAATAACTGGTTACCTTTCATTACAACAGCTTCTGAGGTAGCTCAGACTACTCATCCTTCCTCAAGGGAATTAAAGAAAACAATCAAAGGAACAAGGCCTAGAATCTCCTCTTACACATGAGGAAACTGGGCCTCAGAGGGCTTAGGGACTTGATCAAGAGCACATTGACAGTAAAAAGGGAGCTGGGGCTGTGCAAAGACCACAAAGTCCACACCACACTGCCAGAAAAGGACACAGCCAGAGGAAAACTGTGTTGACCTTGCCTGTTTTTCTTTACTGGAAACAGATCACAACGTCCCAGATGACAGATCTCTATGATATCTGAACGAGGGCATGGGCAAGGCAGCGGCACATCTAACACGGTCCTGCTTAAGCAGTTCATGACAGCCTGCCAGGCTTATCAACGCCATCTCTACAGAGCTCTGGATTGGTCCCAGAAGTGGGCACATGGCAGCAGCTCAGTCATTATTTGTAAATATTGTCATGATTTCTGCATGCAGCCACCATTTTTATTCATCTAAGAATCTAATCCAATGTACCCAAAGAGGAGTCTCAAAAGAAAAGAAATCTGGAACAGAAGCTTGGCATGGTAGTCCAAATGGCACTTGGGATGCCTGCACCCTGTACCAAAACGCCTGAGGTCAAGTCCTTGCTCTTTTCCCAATTTCAGCTTCCTGCTAATTCACACCTTGGGAAGCACCAAGTAATGCTACAAGGAGTTGTGCCTCTGCCTCCAACATGGAGACCTCGACTGAATTCCTAGCTTCTGCTTTCAGCCTTGCCCATCAAAGGCTGTTGCAGGAATCTAGGGAGTGAAGTAGATGGGGGAACTCTGTGTGGGACTTCACCTTTCAAATAAATAAAACAAAAAAATAAAAGAAAACCCAGGAAAAATAAGGAGAAATGGTCAGAAAACCAAACAAAATCACTCTCCCAAACTCAGTGTAGGTCTGAGGCTATTACTCCATGTGTTCTGTAATATTACTGACCATTCTTCACTGGGGTCTTGGGGAGGAGGTATGTCGCTTTCAGGCAGAGTTTCTTCATCATCGTCCCTTTCTCTCGCATTTTGAGACTCTTTATTGGCACCCAATGCCTCCATTTCTTTGCGTTTGTCTATGATCTTCTGTGTGAAATCCACAAGATACATATCTTCCACTTCTTCGTCTAGAATGTAAAAATCATTTTCAGACATCAAAGAGTAAAACTACCTGAGACAGACAAGAAGCAGTGACATTCATTGTCTGGTTGATGTCTTCACCCATGAAACACAGAGCCACCCTGACACCCACAGCAGGGCTGCAAATAGGCCACTGCAAACATACTCCACCCAATCTTTGCAAAGCCTTCATTTTTTTTTTTTTTAAAGATAGCCTTTTTTGTACATAATTGTGGTCTACTTAGACTTTGTTTCCTACCTTTGCTTTTTTTTTTTTTTTTTTTTTTTTTTTTTTTTTTTGACAGGCAAAGTGGACAGTGAGAGAGAGAGACAGAGAGAAAGGTCTTCCTTTGCCGTTGGTTCACCCTCCAATGGCCACCGCGGCCGGCGCGCTGCGGCCGGCACACCGCGCTGATCCGATGGCAGGAGCCAGGAGCCAGGTGCTTTTCCTGGTCTCCCATGGGGTGCAGGGCCCAAGCACCTGGGCCATCCTCCACTGCACTCCCTGGCCACAGCAGAGAGCTGGCCTGGAAGAGGGGCAACCGGGACAGAATCCGGCGCCCCAACCGGGACTAGAACCCGGTGTGCCGGCGCCGCTAGGTGGAGGATTAGCCTAGTGAGCCGCGGCGCCGGCTTTTTTTTTTTTTTTTTTTAAGATTTATTTACTTGAAAGTCAGAATACACAGAGTGGAGAGGCAGAGAGAAAGAGAGGTGTTCCATCTGCTGGTTCACTCCCCAAGTGGCCACCAATGGCCGGAGCTGCGCCGATCCAAAGGCAGGAGCCAGGAGCTTCCTCCAGGTCTCCTACACGGGTGCAGGGGCCCAAGGACTTGGGCCATCTTCCACTGCTTTCCCAGACCACAGCAGAGAGCTCAATCAGAAGTGGAGCAGACAGGACTAGAACCAGTACCCACATGGGATACTGGCACTGCAGGCGGCAGCTTTACCCACTACGCCACAGCGCCAGCCCCTACCTTTGCTTTGTTATCTGTCCTTTTCCAGCACCTGATGACACTCACCATGAGCAAGGAGGCAGAGAATCTGGCTCCCACTGTGTTTGTCTAGCCCCTCCCAGCATCTGGCACTGGGCAGTTGGTAAATAATGCTGCTTTTCCCTGTGCAGCATTAAAAGTAAAATTATAATCTGATTCTGAATAATACTCTATTCTTATAGTTATTTTAGCAAATAATAACTATAAGGCTAGATGAATTATAGAGATAAAGAAGTATAACTCATTATACTTACCTATAAAGTCTCCTTTAGTCATTTTTTCATATAACTTGGCTTTTTCTTCCAATTTCTCCCTGGGGGAAAAACACAAGCATTAAAAATAGTCCTACAACTGTCTCTCCTGAGGACACTGCCCCACCCTCAGCCTGACAGCTGCCATCTGCCTACTTGGTCAAAAAATGACAAGGTAGCTTCAACAGGTGCTGATCCTGCCTGTCCCAAGCGGATCCTCAGATCCACTGTCTGCTCTGCCAATTAAAAGTTCCATGAGGCCGGCGCCGCGGCTCACTAGGCTAATCTTCCGCCTAGCGGCACCGGCACATGGGGTTCTAGTCCCGGTCAGGGCGCCGGATTCTGTCCCAGTTGCCCCTTTTCCAGGCCAGCTCTCTGCTGTGGCCAGGGAGTGCAGTGGAGGATGGCCCAGGTGCTTGGGCCCTGCACCCCATGGGAGACCAGGATAAGTACCTGGCTCCTGCCATCGGATCAGCGCGGTGCACCGGCCACAGCACGCCGGCCACGGCGGCCATTGGAGGGTGAACCAACGGCAAAAGGAAGACCTTTCTCTCTGTCTCTCTCTCTCACTGTCCACTCTGCCTGTCAAAAAATTAAAAAGAAAAAAAAAAAAGTTCCATGAGAGGGCCGGCGCCGTGGCTCACTAGGCTAATCCTCCGCCTAGCGGCGCCGGCACACCGGGTTCTAGTCCCGGTTGGGGCGCCGGATTCTGTCCCGGTTGCCCCTCTTCCAGGCCAGCTCTCTGCTGTGGCCAGGGAGTGCAGTGGAGGATGGCCCAGGTGCTTGGGCCCTGCACCCCATGGGAGACCAGGAAAAGCATCTGGCTCCTGGCTCCTGCCATCGGATCAGCGCAGTGCGCCGGCCGCGGTGGCCATTGGAGGGTGAACCAACGGCAAAGGAAGACCTTTCTCCCTGTCTCTCTCTCTCACTGTCCACTTTGCCTGTCAAAAAAAAAAAAAAAAAAAAAAGTTCCATGAGAGCATGGCCCGTGTTATCCTCCATGCCACCGTGTCCTGATGCCTAAAGTAACACCTGGCACACAGCAGGTACTCACTCAATATTGGAGGAAGGAATGAATGGACTGAGATTAAGATTCTAACAATATAATTTAATTGCCAAATGCAACTTAAACTACATGCAAAAAAATACCCAGAGATGTATGTGAACAAAAACATCGTCTATGTAGCCTTCTAAAAGGATTACCAAGTTCAAGTCCAAACTCTTAGCCTCTTTGCACACACTGATCCTGAGGATGCTTACTTTTCAGTGGGCATAGCTCAGACAGGAGACTATCAATTCTTTATTCTACTAAGAGTTACTGATGATTAAGCGAAGCCCCAAAGAACTCATCTCAGCTTTCTTTTGTGGATGACCACACTTAATCATAAAGGGTAATTTCATTTCTAATGGAATTCAGAAACTGTAACATCTCTGGGTCACATAGCTGTGTGCTCTGGAACAAATTACTTAATCTTTCTTTGCCGCAGTTCCCACAAAGCCACAGGAAAACAAAACAAGAACAAAAAACCAGCATTGCTTCCTAGGGTTGTCATGAAGATTAGTAAGATAATACACACAAAACATGCCATCAGTGACATCATCTTCCTCATCACCTATGTCAGAAAGATCCCGCTTCTACTTTACATAGTCATTCAGTAAGTATTTATTGTAGGCCTCCTATGTACAAAGCACGGTTTTACATAACAGAATCCCAGCTCTCATGGAGTTTCCATTCTAGATGGGGAGACAATAAATACATCAGTGGCAAAAGAACATTTAACAATGCAAAGTACCAGGGAAGAAATAAAGGCAGGAGGTGGCAATAAATGCCCCTTGTCCACATTAATGGAGTGCTCCACGGACTGGCTTAGTCCTACTGTGCTTCTAATAAGTTACATGGCTCTATTTTTAAAAGGGTCCTAATGTAGCAAGTTGTATCATTACAGAATCTTACTATCTCAATGAAAACTTTTAAAAACATTTAAAAAGCAAACAAAACACAAACAAGTGGTGTCTGACTAGAGCACCCCGGCGGTATTTTGTTGACTTACATAGGTACTTAGGGGAAACCTCTCTGAAGGTGACAACTTAGCTGAGGCTTGCACAGCAAGAACAGCCAACCAGAAGAGGACTGGGAAGTAGGGTGAGGCAAGACAGGCCTCACCTGTCTCAGATGAAGTGGAAATGAGCTTGACATATTTAAGGAAGGACAGTGTGGCCGAGGCTGCTGGACCGAGAGAGGAGTGCAGATAAAGACAGACACACAAGAGTAAGGGCAAGTGGGAAAGGATGAGGCATCTCAAGTGGTGTAAAAGCAGGTTTCACGAGAGATTTCTACTTCTGAACTGCACTGACATTCCGTAACAGAAGTATTCATTTTAGGAGATCTCTACTGTGAACAGTGTAATAAAAGATTGTATTGGCCGGCGCCGTGGCTCAATAGGCTAATCCTCCACCTGCGGTGCCGGCACATGGGGTTCTAGTCCCAGTAGGGCGCCGGATTCTGTCCTGGTTGCTCCTCTTCCAGTCCAGCTCTCTGCTGTGGCCCGGGAGTGCAGTGGAGGATGGCACAAGTGCTTGGGCCCTGCACCCGCATGGGAGACCAGGAGAAGCACCTGGCTCCTGGCTTCGGATCAGCGTGGTGCGCCTGCCGCAGCAGCCATTGTGGGGTGAACCAACAGAAAAGGAAGACCTTTCTCTCTCTGTCTCTCTCTCACTGTTTACTCTGCCTGTCAAAAAAAAAGATTGTACTAACACAGTGTACTAAAAAAAGTGTGAAGTTTGTTTTAAATAAAAATATGTGATTTTGAATTTTTCTGTAAAAAAACAAGTAAATCACCAAGATCAAGCAAGAGGTCAGAACATGGCCGCTAGATTTAAAAGAAAGGATGACATTAACGACTTTCAAGAAGGATTTCTCTAGTAAGAAAGAATCCAGACTGCAAGTGCTGGGCACTTACAGTCATCCCACTAGGTGTCCAACACTCTTGTACCTACTTCAATTCCCAAAAGGACTTCATGAGCTAAGCAGTAACCCCTTCATTCATTCAGCAGTATAGAAAGATTCTTGATTGACAGGTAACTTGTCCAGGGCCTTGCCTTACTCCTCATGGGAGAAGCCTGTCACTGTCCTGGCTGTTCTGAGCTCTGGGAAAGTCAAACATCCCACAAACCATGGATAGGTTTGACTCCTCCTGAACACGCTAAAACCAAAGGACTACCTAAAATATGCATAGAGGGAGCAAAGAAGGTGCCGAGACAAACTCTGGTATACAGAATAAAATAATAAAAGTCCATGGCACCTTTAACACACAGTCTCACATAGTCTCACACATACTGAGACTATGTCCAGGAGTGAGAAAGAAGTCTCAAAAATGATTGTATCTTTTCAGCTCAGGTCTTTTGGGGACAGGTCAAACTCTAAGGAAAACAAGCCCCTAAATGGGCTAACAGTCTCCTTTCTAGTTTTACACCCAAAGAGTTGAACATCTTTATCAAACACTGGGTGCACCTGCAGAGTTTCTATTGTGTAGTGTGTCCCAAAGCATGTGAGGCCATCAGCACAGACACTACCTCTCAGGATAATCTCAGAGTTGAGGATGATACTGTCTCTTCTTTATAGAACACAACCAGCTAATAAATGGAATGAAACAATAATAAAGGAAAGGGGCTGGCGCTGTGGAACAGCGGGTTAAAACCCTAGCCTGAAGTGCTGGCATCCCATATGGGCGCCGGTTCTAGTCCTGGCTGCTCCTCTTCTGATCCAGCTCTCTGCTATGGCCAGGGAAAGCAGCAGAAGATGGCCCAAGTCCTTGGGCCCCTGCACCCGCATGGGAGACCGGAAGAAGCTCCTGGCTCCTGGTTTCAGATCGATGCAACTCCAGCTGTTGCGGCCATCTGGGGAGTAAACCAGCAGATGGAAGACCTCTCTCTTTCTGTGTCTACCGCTCTCTGTTATCTCTGTCTTTCAAATAAATAAAATAATCTTTAAAAAAAAATAAATAAAGGAAGAATGAAACCATCAGAAAACCCATCGGGGCCAGTGTAGTGGCATCACAGGTAAAGCTGCCAGCGGCACTAGCATCCCATACAGACATCAATTTGAGTACTGGCTGCTCCACTTCTGATCCAGCTCCCTGCTAATAAGGCTGGGAAAGTAGTGGAAGATAACCCAAGTATTTGGGCCCCTGTACCCACGTTGGAGCCCCAGATGGAGTTCTTGGCTCTTGGTTCAGCTTGGCCCAGCCCTTGCTGTTGCAGCCTTGTGGCAAGTAAACCAGTAGATAGACGTTCTCTCTCTCTTCTCTCTATAACTCTGCCTTTCAAACAAAATAAGTATACCTTTAAAATAAATAAACCCATCATTTTTTTGAAGATTTTATTTATTTATTTGAAAGGTAGAGTTACAGATAATGAGAGGGAGAGACAGAGAGAAAGATCTTCCGTCCACTGGTTCACTCCCCAATTGGCCGCAACAGCTGCAGCTGAGCCAATCCAAAGCCAGGAGCCAGGAGCTTCTTCTGGTCTCCCATGTGGGTGCAGAGGCCCAAGGACTTGAGCCATCTTCTACTGCTTTCCCAGGCCATAGCAGACAGCTGGATTGGAAGAGGAGCAGCTGGGACTAGAACGTGTGCCCATATGGGATGCTGGCACCGCAGGCGGAGGATTAACCTACTGCGTCACGGTGCTGGCCCCAACCCATCATTTTTAAATAATCCATTTAATATTTGATTATTAGCAAATTTCATCAACGATGACAAACTACTGTGCAGAAATGTGCTAGTGGGCTGGTGCTGTGGCACGGCAGGTAAAGTGGCTGCCTACAGTGATGCTGGCATCCCCTATGGGCGCCAGCTCAAGAACTGGCTGCTCCACTTCCAATCCAGCTCCTTGTAATGTGCCTGGGAAAGCAACGGAAGACAGTCCCAGGTGCTTGGGCCCCTGCACCCATGTGGGAGATTCAGGTAAAGCTCCAGGCTCCTGGCTTCAGTCTGGCCCCAGCCCCAGCCACTGCAACCATTTGGGAAGTGAACCAAAAGATGGAAGATCTCTTTCTCTCTCTCTCTCCCTGTGTGTGTGTGTCTTCCTCTCTCTGTGTAACTCTGAACTTCAAATAAATGAATAAATCTTAAAAAAAAAAAAACACAAATATGCTGGTGAATCAGATTTTCACATTCTCAAAGTTTCTCTCCTCAGATTACACAACAGAATGCAGCAGACCTATCTTACCAAGCCATCAAATGTACCTTCCACACGCCATTCATGGAAAGGACACACCAGCTACAAAGACTTCTCTTACCAGACATACTTAATGGGACTCTGAAATCAGCTGGGAGACACTGTACAAATAACTGGCTTAGAACCTTCAAAAGCGTCAATGACATGGAAGATAACAACAAGCTGAGGAAGTTGCTGCAGATGAAGAGACCTAAGAAATTTCACAATCAAATGCAATGGGTAATTTGAATCCTGGTTTGAAGTTTTAAAACGTTAGAAAAGATATAATTGTATTGAGACAACTGATAAAATCTGAATAAGGAGCATATACTAGATAATATTATTTTATATAGTTAGATTTGGTCTGGCGCTGTGGCACAGTGGGTTAAAGCCCCAGTCTGCATTGCCAGCATTCCATATGGGCGCCAGTTTGATTCCTGGCTGCTCCACTTCTGATCCAGCTCTCTGCTATGGCCTGGGAAATCAGTAGAATATGGTCCAAGTGCTTGGGCCCCTGCACCCAAGCATTGCAGCCATTTGGGGAGTGAATCAGCAGATGGAAGACCTCTCTCTATGCCTCTGCCTCTCTGAAACTCTGCCATTCAAATAAGTCTTAAAAAAAATGGTGAAATTTCTAGGGTATGATAGAAGTATTATGGTTGTGGGAGAAATGTCCTTGTTTTTTTAAGACTTATGCTGGCTGGCGCTGCGGCTCACTAGGCTAATCCTCTGCCTTGCGGCGCCAGGACACCGGGTTCTAGTCCCGGTTGGGGCGCCGGGTTCTGTCCCGGTTGCCCCTCTTCCAGCACAGCTCTCTGCTGTGGCCAGGGAGTGCAGTGGAAGATGGCCCAAGTGCCTGGGCCCTGCACCCCATGGAAGACCAGGATAAGTACCTGGCTCCTGCCATCGGATCAGCGTGGTGTGCTGGCCGCAGCGCACTGGCCGCGGCGGCCATTGGAGGGTGAACCAACGGCAAAGGAAGACCTTTTTTCTGTCTCTCTCTCTCACTGTCCACTCTTGCCTGTCAAAAAAAAAAAAAAAATTTATGCTGAAATATTTCATGGTTAATTGTCATCATGCGGGGGCCGGAGCTGTGGCGCAGAGGGTTAATGCCCTGGTCTGAAACGCTGGCATCCCATATGGGTGCCAGTTCGAGACTCGGCTGCTCCACTTCCAATCCAGCTCTCTGCTATGGCTTGGAAAAGCAGTAGAAGATGGCCCAAGGCCTTGGGCCCCTGTACCCACGTGGGAGACCCGGAAGAAGCTCCTGGCTCCTGGCTTTGGATTGGCACAGCTCTGGCCATTACAGTCAATTGGGGAATGAACCACTGGATGGAAGACTTTCTCTCTCTCTCTCTTTTTCTCCCTCTCTCTCCCTCTCTTCTCTCGGTGTAACTCTGACTTGCAAATAAATAAATAAATCTTTAAAAAAAAAGTATCATCATGCTTCACAAAGATTCTCCATACACGTTTAGAGGGAGAAAAACAGAGGGAAATGGAGAGATATGAGAAGGGCAGAGGGAGAAAGGGAGGTAGACAAGGAGGCAAAGAGGCAACAACAGAAAGCAAATGTGGCAGTGGCAAGATGTTAATCTGTGAATTTAGGTGAAGAATATTACAATGTTCACTGTAACCTTCTCTCAGTTATTCTATTGTTTTGAAGTTTGTCAAAATTTACAAGTTGGGTAAGACATTTAGAGTTTCTCAATACTGATGTCATACCACCTAGCTCTGAACCATACCACACAGACACTTTTTTAAAAATCTGCTCATAATCTTAGTGTCTAACAAAGGGTCAAAAGAAGATTCTTTGTATCTTTTCAACTGAGACTACATCCTATCTTTTTATAAAACCACAGATACAGGGATTAGCACAGAACAGCAGGCAAAGCTGCTGCCTGTGGGTGCCAATTCCAATCTCGGCTGTTCCCCTCCCAACCCAGCTCCCCACTAAAGGCCTAGGAAAAGCAGCAGAAGACGGCCCAAGTCCTTGGGCCCCTGCTACCCACATGGGAAACCTGAAAGAAGCGCCTGGCTTCAGCCTGGTCCAATACTAGCCACTGCAGCCATTTGGGGAGTGAACCAGCAGATGGAAGACCTCTCTCTCTGTTTCTTCCTCTCTGTCTCTCTTTCAAATAAATAAATAAATCTTAAAAAAAAAAGACCAAATACATCTGCACATAATGCTATTTTTGGAGTATTCACGCTACTAGGGTATTTGACTGGAAGGATGCTAAAAATCAAATCTATAAATCAAGAAATAAAATCTGAACTTTCACCCCATGGTTTAGGCACCTCAAAGGTCACCACACTTATCAGTGACCACGTTCACCTTGCTTTGTCCAAGGTCTTCTGTTCCTCAAGCTTCTGCTCAGCATCCTTCTCGGCTCTAGCAGACACTCCTGCATTCTGCTTCTTCCAGACACTTGGCTTCTGGGGAAAGTGAAAGGACAGAGTGCTACCAGGTGACTACAACAAAAATCATTTTGTGCACTAGGACAAAGGGAGAGAAGGAGCTCACTCAGCCTTATGAATCAGGATCTTCCAACAGGGAACCTCGCTCCTACACACACAATGGCTGTACACAGCAAACCTGACAAACAGTCCCAAATTATATAAAGAATTTATATGTTTTACATAAAGAATTTACTTATACAAAGGCATAAAGTTCCTCCTCTGCTACCTTTGATTTGCTAAATGATTATAGAGTAATTCAAGATTCTAATGAAAATACACATATTACAGAGAACTAGTAAAACAAATAGTATATACCATAACTGATGAAACTGGAAAAGTATTCACACCTCTTAGAGATCCTGATATTCTCTGCTATACTTCCATCTTATCTAATTGTTTATGTCTATATGAATATATAACACCTATAAAATCAGATAATCTTCCATAACAATGTATATAATCTTGTTAGTAAGAAGTGCTAAGGAATTAGAGTATTATCCTGTGCCTTTAGTATTCTTAATTTCCATTTCAACATTTAAAAGTTACATGCAGATGCTATGATACAAAATAGGGTTATTTCCTTCATAATTACATGTGTGGGACCACTGACATTTTGCGAAACCTGAAGCATGGTAACAATTCTCTCATTTGTGGAATCAATGGAGATAATCAGGTCTTATTTTTACCTTATGAATTGTTTTTGGTTTTCCCAAAACTCCAGAATCTTTTCGAAGTTTCTCCTGTTTGAATTCTTCTTGTTTTCGGAAAAGTTCAGCCTTAAGATCTACTAACTAGAATAAAACCAAGAAGGAAAAAAATATTTCAATCAACTATAGCAAGTGATCAGATTGCTAAATTATTATTAAACTCCAAGCAAGATGTCAAGTTCCTTTAAATGGACAAAAAATGGATATAAACTTAAATGATTAAATATAAAATCCAGTACAAAATTAAATTAAGTCATAAGCTCTGTTTCAAACACATTTCTGCTCTACCTTTCAACACTCCAGGCTTTCTCTGAGCAAAGGGAGAGTGAGAAAGCAAATACATACATGAAATGCAGGGCTGGTTCTGTGCCATAGCAGGTAGAGTCACCGCCTGCAGTGCTAGCATCTTATATGGGCACCAGTTCGAATTCCGGCAGCTCCACTTCCAATCCAGCTCTCTGCTATGGCCTGGGAAGGCAGTGGAAGATGGCCCAAATCCTTGGGCCCCTGCACCCACATGGAGACCTGGAAGAAGCTCCAGGTTTCCAGCTCTGGATGGGCTCAGCTCAGGCTGTTGCAGCCATTTGGAGAGTGAACCAGCAGATGGAAGACATCTCTCTCTGTCTCTGTCTTTCAAATAAAAAAATAACTCTTCAAGAAATACATAAATCAATAAATGAAACGCACATCCTTTAGACTCAAAGTTATCAGGCACCTTCTCCCTGACTGGCACTCCATTTGGCCTCTTCATGTGGTAATCTCATTACATCATCACAACAATTTATTTTCTTGACAGGAAAATGTTTTCATTCAGTAATTATTTGATCACTCAGTTTGTGCCTGGCACCTAATCCCAAGGAAGAGGCCACACACATGATTCAGACGTACTTCCTGCCTCCAAGAGCCTAGGATCTAATAAGGGTGATTTATAATACCAATTAAATGTAATCAGTGTAATCGAAGACTTTAAGGTGGAACAAAACTGCCTCAAAGTTCAGATAAGGGAGTATTTCTTTCTGTCTGGGGGCGATCAAAGTTTGAGCTGACCCTTGAATGACAGGCAAGGTTTCAACAGCTAACAGCTAAAGCAGACCAAGAGATAAGAATAGCTCTAAGCCTGGCTTACCACATGGTTTGCAACTCACAATGGTTCAACTCGCAATTTTTCAATTTATGATGGCACAGGAAAGCAAAAAGCATTCAGCAGGAACAGTACTTGGAATTGTGGATTTGGATCCTTCCAGGGCTAGCGCTATGTGGCCTGGTCCCGTCTCAGAAGTCGGGCAGCAGAGAACACAGCTGCCAGTCAGCACTGTGACTCTGAGGGGAAACACCCAACACTCTACAGTGCCCTGGGCCCCCAAGCCATCAGCTTTGCTAGGCCAGGTGCGCTCAATGATTTTTGCACATGTTATTTTCAACCTATGAGGGGTTTACTGGGATCCAACCCCAGTGTAAGCTGGGGAGCATCTGCATGCTGTCTCAGAAGCTGTAAGTGTAACGGAATCACAGTGTTCAAAGGGAAAAGGACAGGGCCAGGGCCGCTGAGTGAAGATTCGTGCCTGCCTTCACCTCCCTCAGCCCCCGCTCCCATGTCTGCTGCAGCACTGCTCACAACAGACGAGACCCAGAACCGAGGGAGGGGCCATCATCTCAGGGACCGATCAAGAAAACGAGATACAGGGACACCACGCAATGCTACTTAGCCATAAAAAAGGATGAGATCCTGTCATTTCCAACAACGTGGATGAGACCGGAGGTCGTGGAAAATGACGCCAGTCGGGCACAGAAAGACCAGACCCACGTGATCGCACTCACGGGTGGACTCTAAAAAAGTTAACTGCATAGAAGCCGAGAGTAGACGGCGACCACCAGAGGCTGGGGGTGGGGGCGGGGAAGGCTGGTTGGTAAGAGTGAAGTTATCCTCCGGCAGGAGCAAGAAGTTTCGGGGCTCTACCACACAGCAGGGCGACTATCCATAATCACCATGGGTTGTTTATTTTCCGAAACAAGCAAACAACGAAAAGGATTTTGAACGTTTTCACCATGGAGAAATGCTACATGTTGGGGGAGACACGTCTATTGACGCTGACATTACACAACGTACGCTTGCGCGGAAACGCCACAGAGTATCCCATAAATATAAATTAGAAAATTAAAAAAAAAACAAACACATTTTAAAGGAAGCAGAACCACCCCCAACAGTTTACCCCGTCGGACCTCCCAGCTCCCGGGCGGCGCTTCGCTCGCGAGCCCGGCCCGGGTCTCCGCAGCCGGACACGGCTGCCGCGCCCGGGCCCCGCGGGAAGGGAGCCCGCGCTCGGCGCGGGGCTCAGGGCAGACGCCTGGGCGCGGCACGCCGGCGGCAACGAGCCGGCTCGGGAGCCCCTGCGTTATTAAGCCGGCCAGGCCCGTCGGGAGAGAGAAGGCCAGCGCCCCGTTCCTGAGGGAAGAGGCCAGGTCTGGGTCCCGAGCGGAGAGACAAGCTGGACGGAGACATGGGGACCCCGAGGCCTGTAGCATCACCTAGCTGTACTTACCGAAGAGGCTGCAACATCCAGAGGCTTTTTCCTCCGATCCATAGTGGCGCCGGAGCGTCCCGGCCCACCGCCAGCTCTTCCTGAAGTCCCTCGGGTCTCACAGACTTACTTCCGGCGCAACCGGAAGTAGCTTTGACAGCGACTCTAAATCCCCGACGTCGGCGCCATCTTGTGAAGGTCTTAATGTGTGGCGCGTTTTACGTTCGCCGCCATATTGAGAAGGTAAGAGGGTGCCCGTGTTAGAAGACGGACTAGCGTTGGCGCCATCTTGAGAGAGGCTTTCCTTGCAAGGGACACCAACCATCTTGAGTGGGGAATGGGCGAGAGATGTGGATGGCGCCATCTTGAGGAGGGCCTGATAAATTCAAGATCTTCAGAATGGAAACAGCCGCTTAGGAGATTCGCAAAAATCCAAAACTTTGGAAGACTTGCTTTGTGCGAGGTCCTGTCTGGTGCTTTTCACGTGTTGATTAGTGGACTCTCGCAAAAGTCGTATTGGAGTAAATCCGTATTGCAGTATTGTCTTACACGTAACAGCTGTGTTAATAGCTGACATGAGTATGAGTATAGTGATCAGTTTTTTTTTGTTTTTTGTTTTTTGTTTTTTTACGTATTTTCTCGTAAGAACATTAACTCTAGCAGTGGGCACTGTGACACAGTGGGTTAAGTCACTGCTTGAGAGGGTGGTGTCTGGGTTGGATCCCCTCCCTGGTGCCACTTCCAATCCAGCTCCCTTCTAATGCACCTGGGAAGGCAGTGGAGAATGGCTGGAGGACTTGGGCCCCTGACACCCATATGGAAAACCTGGATAGAGCTCCTGGCTCCTGGCTCAGATATTGCAGCCCGTTGGGGAGTGAACCAGAAGATAGAAGATCTCTGTCTCTCCCTCGCTCTGTGAAAAGAACATGTACTCTAGAAACTGAGTTAGTGGGCTGGAGTCTCAGTTTCACCACTTACTGGGCTTTGTGACTTTGGGTAAGTTGCATTTTTCTGCACCTCAATTTCCAAAGGTGAATAAATTGTTTCTTCCTCGTTGAGATTATGAGAAGTAAATGAGTTAAGTGAGCTGGTCTTGTTAAAAATGTTAATGTCTGTGATAGACGGACTTGTGACACTCCCCCCCCCACAAGATGTCTCCCTCCCAGCTGCCGCCCCCAACCCTCACCAATCTCTGAATCTACCAGTTAAAGGGAATTTACAGATGTGAGTCACTGACGCTGTTAAAATGGGGAGACTGTCCAGGTGGGCCCAGGCCACCACAGGAGTCCTAGTGAGAGGGGAGCAGAAGTTCAAAGTCCGTGAATGAGGTCAGAGGTGACCACACTGCAGGCTTTAAGGGGGGGGAGGGGGCATGGCCAAGGGATGCAGGACGCCTCTGAAAGTTGGAGGAAAAGCAAGCAAACAAACAGAAAGAAATTCCTCATCCTCTAGGCTCTTCTGCGGTAGTGCACCATTACTGATATGTCATCTTAGCCTTAGCTCTAACATGCTGGCACGTGTTAGAGCTGGAACTTTTGGAACTACACCAGGATAAATCTGAGCTGTCTTAAGCCACTCAAGTGATGGGATTGGTTACAGCGGCAGGAGAAAAGAGGATACAAATGCTAATGACTGCAGCAGCACTAAGCTATAAGTCAGGCAGGTGTACACCTGTCTCCATGCATCACATTATTTAATCCTCGCCAGAATCTCAGAAGCACAACTTCTATCCTCCGTATTACAGAGGGGAAAAAAGGAGACCCCAAAATGGTCAGTGCTTGTCGGGGTCATGTCCCATTTAGCACGTGATGGGGGCTAGAGTCAGTCACTCAAAGGCACTGTTTTCTCCTAAAGAGGGTAACCGACATTGGCTTCCCTCAGAAAGAGACGAGGATTTCTGCAGAACAAAGAGGCAGGAGAGAAGAAAAAGTCAGGTGACCAGGAAGCCAGGACCTAGGTCTCCTTGCTCAGCTGGCCTCTGGCAGTGAGGCCACTGAGTGGAGGTCCTGGAGCAGTGAGCAGGAGAGGAGCGTGGCAGTCTGTGGATGCGCCCAGAGAAGAGCGTCTGGCTTGCTCTGTACACTGTCTGTCTTGGTCATCATCTCCATCTTAGCCCCGCAGGTTAGCACAATTGCCCTAGTCAGCAGTTCTCATGAGAGGAGCATCCTTTATTATCATCACATCCTAGGACGTTTCAAGGCCTAGAGCCAAGCCAGAGAGTGTGCCTTCTCCCTCCAGCGCTCACATACACCAAGGCCTAGAGAGGCACAGCAAGCTTTGCCTTGGATGACCGGAATGTTCTCCAGGTACACCAGTGATTTCTCACGGGTCGTCTTTCCTCAGACTCCTCTTCCTTTGATGCTTTCCAAGCATCTGGGGCTGGCAGGAATGTCTTCTCTATCAAGAACCAAAAATGCAGGCCGCAGCCCGGTGTGTTCTTTACCAGGCTACACCCTTTTCTAGGATGTGGTCTTCTAAACCGGGTCTCAGGCGTCCGTGTCTCACACAGGGACCTGGGTTTGTTCTGGAAGAAAGGGGAAGGACAGGGACACCCTTTTCTGGTGAGAAGAGCCCAGGCTTCCTCTGAGGGGTCCCCCCTGACCCCTTGGGTTACCTTGAGTGCATCACGTCAGCTCTTGGCGCCTCCATTCTCTTGCCCAGCTGTGCACACAGGATGCTGGTGACAGAGCGGAAATAATTTGCAAGCAGAAAATGCTGCGTGGGCATCACCTGCAGGATGCAGAAGTTTTGCTCAGCACCGGTTTTGTCACAGCAGAAGGCACATGTGTCACAGCAGTCTGTGTCTGTGTTCTGACGCTGCATGTTTTGAGCACCAGTGAGTTCTCACCCTGCTGGGCCCCCAGGGAGTGGGATGGGGTGGGAGAGCAATTATCTTCTGCCTTGTCTGTTAACCGTCTGTCCGGGCTTCTCGATGCTTTCAAGGAGGGAAAGGGAAGACGGTCTGATAGAGCCAGCCATGATTTTTCCTGTGAGCCTGGCCACCAGAGCATGTCCTCTCCCAGCACAGAGCCTCCTAAGGACGTGATCGCCTGCTGGCCTCAGCCATAGCAGCATGTTTTCATCAGTGGTTACGCCAAGAGCTTTAGTTTATTTCAGGGCCCCTATTGGCATGTTAAAATGATTTTTCTACACATCCGCAGTCTGCAAACTAAAAATGTGTCTTAGCCTTCATTTCGGCTCCAGCACCTCCGGCTCTGACAGTAAGTTACTCAGCAGTGGATGAATTCACGGAGTTCAATGAGAGAAAAAAGATTAGATGAGACCACAGGAAATTAGATTCTTAGCCAAGGCATAGGATGAAGTATAAAGATATGGACACTCATACCCTGGATGATAAAAAGCCCACTTTTCTGAGCATCAGTGTCTTATTGAATCCCACAGAACAACCTCAAGGGCAAGTGCTAGTATTAGTCTCAGTTTTTAGATGAGAAAACAGAGGTGTTGAGTAACTTGTCTGAAATCTCACAGCACATCCTGATCCCAGGATTTTCATAGAGGCAGCCTCGTTCATGGACCATATGCTGTCCTCTTCTTACTGCGTCTGAGACTGTATTGGCCTAAGATACCAAACTCCTGTCTGCTCTGAACCCTCACGGAGCGCCCTCTACATGTGGGGGGCTATGCTAAGCATTTAATGTGTTTCTTTTTATAAACTTAAAAAAAATGTAAAACACTTCTACAGAAAAGTTACAGAGGTGGCAGAGAGTGCCCCTGTTGCTGTGGATTCATTCTGAGAGGAGGAGTGTGGTGGGGGCAAGAGGTGCAGAGTCACCACACAGACCCCGGGAGTCGGGAGTTGAGTGAAAGCAGGCCTGAGGCAAGCAGCCTGCAGACTCATTTATTTCAGTTGGTACAGCAGCTTATATAGCTGAGGCAGCCAATCCAGTTGGGGGAGGGTGGTGGTTATTCCCTAGCCAATCACAGCCTGTTGCCAGGCAGTTTCTGAAGCCATCCAATCACAGCCTGTTGCCAGGAAGGCTCTGTTGCCAGTGGCCATCTTGGCATGGCCTTCTCATTCCACCACATGCCCCCATGCCTGCAGCCTTCCTGTGTCCTTAACATCTTCTGAGTCCCAGCCCAGAAGCCAGCCTGGGACCCCTGCTGGGCATGACTGCCCACTTCCTGGATGCCACCCTCCACTCCCAGTGCCTGCCTCTAGACCAGGATCCTGTCAGGTACACGTAGCATCTAGCTGTCATGGTCTCAGGTCCCCCAGGGTCCCCTCCAGTCACTAAGAGCTCCTTAGACTCTCTGTAGCCCTTGACATTTTTGAGCTGGACTGGCCAGGTGTCTTGGGGAGGGGGCTCCCACTGGGATTTGCCTGGGTTCTTCTGAGAGTTCCAGTGGGATTGTCTGTATACAGAAGGAACCCACAGAGGGGAGGCGGTGGCACCAGCTCGTCCTGGCAAAGCAATTGCTGTTGACATGACTCCTTGCTCACAGGGACCCTGATCACCTGCCCATGGGACTTTCCCAGGTGGGCCTGCTGTAAAATGAACTTTTCCCATTGTCCATACCGATCCGTGGAGGCGAGTCATCTACTGTATTCAAATGTTTTAAATAATAATTATATGTACTTACAGGGTAGAATGCGTTGATGTATGTTTCCAATGTAGAATGATTATACCATCCAGGTTAACCAGTACATCACCCCGCATGTGTACTATTATTCTGTACTATGATCTTCTTTTTAAAAACCTTAAAATATACAGTGCATTATTTATGAATTACGGTCACCATGCTGCTCAGCACATCAGGAAAGCTTCTTTCCCCTGTCTAACTGAAACTTCCAGCTGACCCTTGGGCCAGCTTCTCTCCCCTCTCCCTCCCCCAGCCTCTGGTCACTGTCAGTCTGACCTCCACTACTGTGAGCCGGCTTCCTTCCATTGCACATGTGAGATTCTGCTTTCTTCGTCTTTCTGTGCCTGCCTTATTTCACTGAGCATGAGGTCCTGCATGCTCAGGCACAAATGACACCAAATAGTAGTCCATGTGATCTTTCTCCATTCATCCACAAAGAGATACCTAGGTTGATTCCTTATCCTAGTAGCTAAGACTGCAGTGAAGAGGGAAGGTTACACCAGTACACACAAACATCAAAGAACAAGAAAGAGGTCAGATCAACGAGTTAAGGTGACACCGCAAAGAATTAGAAAAAAGAAGACAAACCGAGCCCCACATCAGGGACAGAAGGGGTAAGACCAGAGGGCCATCTGTATCCTAACTTGACAGCAGGCTCACCTGCCAGGTGTGCCGCAAACCCCACTCTACACATGAGAGGACTGAGGCCAAGGGAGTGGTCTAACCGTATACTCCACTGCCTCTTCCCTGAGAGGCTCCTGGCCCTGGCCCTCCCCATGCTTTGTCAACTTCTCTATTTCGTCCCTGCTGTCCCCACCCTTCCTATTCCAGAAATGGAAACCAGCCAGGTTTGGCCGTGGGTGCCAGGAGGCCCCTGAACCACGAACCCCATTCCTGTTTGCAGATGCTCAGGGCCTGGGAACTGAGCTGCTCATTGCAGACACCCTGATGCTCACTTTAATTTCCTGCCTGGACCAGCAGGACACAGATGGGGACAGAGATCTGGGAGGCAGCAGTGGGGGAGGGGCTGCAGCGAAGGCTGGCTCCTCCCTGGAGCCATGCGGGGCAACCATATCTGGGGCTGCAAGGGAGCCGGGGTCATGATCTTAGGGGAAGACTGTGTGTCCCCCTGGTCCTGCGTGGGGAAGAGGAGCTTCCAGCGAGGAAGATGCAGAAGGCGCCGGGGCAAACCGGTCTCCATCTCTGCACCCACCTTCCTCAGCTTGTGTTCAGTGACCGATTCTGTGCTCCTCCCAGGGAGTCCATCCAGGCGGCCGCGGCTGTCCTCACACTTTGGTTCACGCTTTCAAGGCTTTATTTATTGCAATGCACACCTGAAAGTGCCTGTTTCATACTAGGACTTGTGCTGGGGGCTCTTCTCACACCCATTTCACAGATAAGGAAATGAAGCTTGGGAGAGTGAAGGGACCCTGTGCTAGGGGAGGAACCGGAGTTCAAGTCCACTTTCCATGGCCAGAGCTCAGGGGATGCCCAGCCTGCCTATGAAAGTGAGTGGGGTCAGGGCAGGGGCTGGCACTGTGGCACAGCGGGTTAATCCTCTGCCTGCCTGTGGCACCAGCATCCCATATGGGCGCCAGTTCTAGTCTTGGCTATTCCTCTTCTGATCCAGCTCTGCTGTCCTCTGGAAAAAGCATGGGAGACCTGGAAGAAGCTCCTGGCTCCTGGCTTTGGATGGGGCCAGCTCAGATTGTTGCAGCCATCTGGAGAGTGAACCAGTGGATGGAAGACCTCTCTGTCTCTCCCTCTCACTGTCTTTAATGCTACATATCGAATAAATAAATAGAAATCTTTTTTCAAGAAAGGAAGGAAGGAAGGAAGGAAGGAAGGAAGGAAGGAAGGAAGGAAGGAAAAAAGGAAGAAAGAAAAGTGACAGGGGGGCCCTGGCACTGTGGTGTAACAGGTAAAGCCGCCACCTGCAGTGCCGGCATCCCATATGGGCGCTGCTTCAAATCCCGGCTGCTCCTCTTCTGATCCAGGTCTCTGCTATGGTCTGGGAAAGCAGTGGAAGATGGCCCAGGACTTTGGGCCCCTGCACCCACGTGGGAGACCTGGAAGAAGCTCTTGGTTTCTAGATTCTGATAGGGTCAGCTCTGGTCATCGAGGCCATTTGGGGAGTGAACCAGTGGATAGAAGACCTCTTTCTCTCTGCTTCTGCCTCTCTGTAACTCTGCCTTTCACATAAAAAAAAATCTTTAAAAAAAAAGAAAAAGAAAAAGGAAAGAAAGTGACTGGGAAACACGTTGTCCCATGTACAGAGGCAGACTGCCTTGCTCCATGCAGTACGTAGAGCCATCACACACGCCACCCCTGGAATGCTCACATCACACGAGCAGGATGTAGGAGTTCCACAGGCCAATGGGCAGTGCAGGAACCCTGGCCCCTGGCTGAAGGCACTCAGGAGAAGGCTCAGAGCAGACATGGCCTGTGTGGCAGACAGCTGAGGTTTGGCTCAGCAGTGCCCCAGCCTCTTGTGTGGCAGGAACCCCCCAGTTTCTGTCTGGGGAATGCTGTCCTGGAAACCTGCCCTTCCAAAGCTCATGTTACAGGAAATGCAAACCGAAACCACAAGGAGTGGCTAAAATCCAAAATGCAGAGTGGCAAATGGTGGTGAGGATGTGGAGAAAGGGGAACACTTACATACTGTTGACGAGAATGTAAATTACTATAGCCACCGTGAAAAACAGTGTATATTTTTTGAAAAAGTATAAATAGACTTGCCCTATGATCAGCAATCCCACTTCTGGGTATACACCTGAAAGACTTGAACACATTGTATCAGAGAGAGACTGTTCACAGTAGCCAAAACCTGGAACCAGCCAAGGTGTCCATCATCAGATGAATGGATAAAGAAGTGTGTGCGTGCATACACACACACACACACACACACACTGGAATATTATTCAGCTATAAAAAAGAATGAAATTCGGCCGGCGCCGCGGCTCACTAGGCTAATCCTCCACCTTGTGGCGCCGGCACACCGGGTTCTAGTCTCGGTCAGGCCACCGGATTCTGTCCCGGTTGCCCCTCTTCCAGGCCAGCTCTCTGCTGTGGCCAGGGAGTGCAGTGGAGGATGGCCCAAGTGCCTGGGCCCTGCACCCCATGGAAGACCAGGATAAGTACCTGGCTCCTGCCATCGGATCAGCGCGATGCGCCGGCCGCAGCGCGCCGGCCGCGGCGGCCATTGGAGGGTGAACCAACGGCAAAGGAAGACCTTTCTCTCTCTCTCTCTCTCTCTCTCTCACTGTCCACTCTGCCTGTCAAAAAAAAGCCAGGAAAAAAGAATTAAATTCTACCATTTGCAGCAAAATGAATGCAACTGGAGGACATCTTGGTGAGTGAAATAAGCCACACCCAGAAAGACAAATACTGCTTGTTCTCCCTTATATGAGGGAGCTAACATTCAAAAAACAAGCAAAAAAGAAAGAAGAAATAAAAGTCTGTGTGCATAATTATTGCTGCAAATAGTTTTTTTTTTTTTTTTTGACAGGCAGAGTGGACAGTGAGAGAGAGAGACAGAGAGAAAGGTCCTCCCTTTGCCGTTGGTTCACCCTCCAAAACTTTGTTTTATACCTTTGTCAAACCAAAGGATAAGAATGTTATATGCTATAGTTTTAATGATCTGTGATTACTTTAAACTTTACTGTTCATGGGTAAAATGGTCATTTTTCCATTCAATTATTGTTTATAGCCATTCTCTATATTCCCACTAAACTAGGCCTTTTTCTTTGTTATTAAACTTCTAATTTGGTGAAATATTAAGCCTTTTTACTGTAATGTAAATGTAAAACATGTTATCTCAAAAACCAAAAAAAAAAAAAAGGGAGAAGGAAGGAAGGTGGGGGGAGGAGGAATGGAGAGAGGGATTTAAATCATATTGAATCTGCTAAAAAACTGATTAAAAATTAAAATAAAAAATTGGAATCTTAAATGCCCAATAAAAATGTTTCAAAAACTAAAAACAAACAACAAAAGCTCATGTTAGAGGCTTAATCCCCAGATTCACTCACTGATGGCATTTGGGGGTAGACATGGGGATGCGAATAGGATTAGATGAGGTCCTGAGAGAGGCATTCATGGCTTTATGAGAAGAGGAGGAGAAACCGCAGCCAGCAGCTCGCTCATCTGGCCCGTGTAATGCCCTCTGCCATGCCACGGTGCAGCGAGAGGGCCCTCACCGGAGGCTAGGACCATGCTCTTGGCCCTCCCAGCCAAACCAAAGACACTTCTGCTCTTTCTGAATCGCCTGCTCTCGAGGCTTTGTTACTACAGCAGAGAAAAGACTAAGACAGGGAGTCAGCCTCCCACACACCTGGTCCATGTGAGGCTGCCTGCTGGGGGTGGGGGTGGGGGCTCCTCTCTGCTGACCTCACTTAGCACACTCCCTGCTATTGGTCTGTGGCATCGTCCTAGAGTGAGATGACACAATGAGCATCTTGAGAGGCATAGGGTAACACAGGTCTGAGCCAGTGGGGACCATGCATGCCCCTGGCCACCATGCCTGCTTGGGCCGAGGAAGTCTAAAGCTTTTGCTGAGGCTGCTGGATTGGAGACTTGGTTCTTCTCAGCTCGTGAGAACCAGATGCTGCTGGCAGCCACCCTGTGACAGTGAGGGAGAGCCTGAGAACTGGGCCAACTTGGAGAGTGTGGAAGAGACAGGGATGGAGGGAAACCAAGTGCAGGTGACCTGTTGGGGCTGGAATCTAATGGCACTGTGTGGGGAGCAACTCGGACTAGACTAAGTTACTGGAATTAAGACTTATTCTATGCATTTGCTCTCCCACAATATGGCGCTGGGAGAGGAGTAAATAGCTTCTGCGCAGCTGCCTCCCGTTCGACCAATAAACTGCAGGAGCTGCTCCTGATTGGAGGAGAGCAGCGTGCTCCGCGTGTGGGCAGCAGAGTTGGGATTGGTGGAAGAGGACTATAAAGGAGGAGAGAGACAACATGCACCGGAAACATCTGAAGAACACCTGTGCAGCCCCGGAGAGAGCTGGCCGGTGGTGTGCCGCTCCTCCGCGGAAGCGGGGAAAGTGGCAGGGGGAGCCGCCCCTCCACGGAGGTGGAGGGGTTGGCAGCCAACCCGGGAAGGACCAGCAGCAAACCCGGGAAGGGCCGAGCAGACAAAAGAACAGCGCAGGGTCCTGTGTCGTTCCTCCATGAGAGGGGGAGCGACAACACTGGAGGTCAGATATACCGTCAAGTTCCTAAGCACGCAGACCAGGGGCTTGCCACTGGCTGTCCCTAGCAACCACAGCAATTCTTGTCCTCCCCTTTCCCTATAGCCTGAGACCCGTGGGAACTAGGAAGGGGCTGACTCCAGAGAGGAGATGATCTGTGGACCCCTCTGGCCTGCATGTGTGGGAATGCCAGAGCTGGGGGCAGGAGCTGAGCCCCAGGGAAACTAGCAAAGTTTCCTGGTATGTCTGCATTGGGACAAAGTGGCATGGATGCCACTCTTCCCCCACATGCTCACTTGCACAGTGAAATGCTGTGATTTGACATTGTAGAGTAAGAGTCACAAAGCCAGGGGACCTTGAACACAAGCCCGAGAAACAGAGCTCCACTTCAGAGGTGAGGGGCCCAGCAAGGCTCAGGGAGCAGCTGAGCACACACGACTCTTTACATCGTGGAACTGGGACCAGAAGCTGGGTTTCTCGGACAGTTCCACAACCCAGGTTTTTCTATATCATAATTTCCTGAAGATAAAGGCTTTGGTTTTCATCCAAGGGTGGGGTTTATCGGGCTACCCATCAGGTCACCCCAAGATAGGCTGGTGGAGGCCAGGCCTCCTCCTCCTCCCCTAGGGCCTTGCTGGGTCACACTCACCATCTGTGGAGAACACACAGCTCAGCTTCCCCAGGACCCACAGCATCTGCAGCTTTGCTGCTCACAGGTGCATGGCTCTGCGTGGGTGAGACAGGGCGTGATGGAGCTGTGCCGTAACTGCCAGCGTCACACTCACACCCAGCTGTCTAAGAATTCACAGCCTGGCACCGACACACCCCCTTCCCCGGGCTGGGCAAACAGGCAGTGTTGTATCTAAAGTGATGGGAGCGTGTGTGTTGTGGGTGTGAGCACACACTCATCCGCACGTCCCCAGTTGGATGCGAGTAGCGGGATCTCAGGGAGCCTAGGCAGGGAGTCAGCCCAGCAGTCACAGAAAGCATGAAGGTTGTCCTGGGAATTCAGGGCAAGCACAAACTCCCCAAAGCAAGCCGCCAGGGGCACGGTTTATCATAGGGGAACTGGATTGCTCTTCCTGGGTAACCGACACATAGAACTGCTCATTTCTCACACCAACTCTGGACCTGGGACGTAAGTCAAATGTCCATGTCCCCACACCTCATGTTGCAAGCTGCACCCTCAGTGTGATGGCTTTGGAGGCAGGGCATGGAGGAGGGGAACTGCTCATGAGGGCGACACCCTCTTGTCTGCGATCAGTGCCCTTACCTGAGAGACCCTCACCCCTCTGGCCACAACAACACTCAGCAGACCCTGTATCGCCAGGACCTTGATCTTGGATTTCCCAGCCCCCATAATAGTGAGAAATAATGTTTCTGTGTGTCCAAGCCACCCAGGCTTCTCCCAGCCTGGTGGAAGTTGTTACAGCATCATGAACAGAAAGGCTGGCAGGCAGAAGTGAGGGTCTGTGCTCCCTCTGGTCCTTCCAGGCAGGGTGGGGGCTGGGGGTGGGGGTGGGGGCTCCTCTCTGCTGACCTCACTTAGCACACTCCCTGCTATTGGTCTGTGGCATCGTCCTGGAGTGAGATGACACAATGAGCAGCTTGAGGGGCATAGGGTAAGGAGAGGCCCACAATGGCCAGGTCTAGGAGCCCAGGGAACCCCTGAGGTTTCTTTCTGTCCTCTGTCCTTGCTCCCTGCTGGCAATAGCACCTCCATTTGTTGCAGGGATCCACCACTTCCACACTCTCAGATGCATGGTTTTGGGGGAGACACACTTGTTTGCGGCAGATGAAAAATGAGGTCAGGAATCCGAGGGGAAACGGGGTGCCAGGACTTGTGGACGGAAGGTGCCACTGAAGGCCAACTCCCTAGACAAGATGCTTCTGGAAGATAACCCTCGTGTGCACAGAGCCCTAATGCCAGCAGATGGCATGGGTGGCACTTGCAGCCAATGCCCTCAAAGACCCCTGCCCATAGCTTCTTACTGCAAAACACTTGTGCCTCTGCCCACAGGTGATTCTCTGGCTGCAGGAGTAAGCTCAGCCCAGGTCCAGGGCAGGCTGGAAGTGCCTGGAGTGAGTGCCCAAGGACAGCCCTCAGCCAACAATCAGTGGCAGCTGGTGCACAAATGCCCGGATCCCTTGCCCTTTGCAAGACACGACTCTGAGCTATGCTCTTAGGGTGCATCCAGAGTCTCCAACAGGACTGAGCCTCGGCTGCCCATGGTGCGCACAGTGCCCCAGCCCCTGCTCCTTTTCCTTACTTCCTAGATCCCTCTCCCCAGCTCTGGAGGAGGGCAGGGAGCCCCATGGAAGTCTGAGGGGACAGTGTCTGTGCAGGCCCAGAGAAAGCAGCAGGCCTGGCAGAGCAAGTAGGCTACACAGCTAGGAGGAGGGCGTCGAAGGGAGGGGACACTCAGGAGTTCAGTGGGGAAGAAGGGTCAGCTTGTTTAACCTTTGGGAGGACTCTGGCTTGTGCTCTGCATGGACTTGCACTGCAGAATTGGCCTTATGAGGTCTGCTTTATAGCCGACAACGCAGAGCAGCAGACAAGATTCCAAATGTCCCAGTGTCACCCAGAAGGGCAGTGGAGTCCAGATTCAGAATCACTCTGGATCCCAAGGCCAGACTCTGCCTCCAGGCCAGCAGGGGATGACCAGCACTGGGGAGATGAGAGGGTGTGGTCCAAGGCCCAGCCAGGGAATGAGGCCTCAGCTGGTGGAGGGGAGCTGGTACGGAGGGGGCTTGATTATTTTATCATGATTGGAGGAGGGCAGACTTTGAACCTCTCTAGTGGAACCTACTAAGTTCAGGACTCAGACTGGTAAGCAGACTTGACTGCTATGGCTGGCTTGTGCCTCAGCCAACACCCTACTCAGCTATCACGTAGACTGCCCCAGAGACTTCACAAGCGCTAGGAGCTCAAGCCTGCAGCTTGCAGCACCTGTGCAGAAGCGCCTCCCAGCCCCTAGTTGTGGGTACACAGGGCGGACACGGGGCTGCCCGTGCCCCATCCTCCCTCCCTTCCCACCCCCTCCCTGCTGCTCTGGAGCAAGGCTGAGGCTGCCCGTTTGAAGACCACAGGCCTCAGCTGGGGGCAGTGGCACATGAGACAGGCCAACGTTTCCAGAAGGTTCCTTCCGTAGGCTGGCTCAGCCTAGCTCTGAAGGTGCTCTGCATGGTGAGGGTGGAGCCTTAGGGAGGGAGGCCTCCTGGCTCTGTCTACTTGGAGTCGGCAGAGGAGAGAAACATCCCAGGAGCTCCCAGGGTGTTTGGACCACAGCAAGGAAAGCTGACCGCAGCGGTGACTGTGATGGGAAAGGCAAGACAACTATGTCAGGGGACAGCATGCACTGTCCCCACGCTCACACACACTTCCCCCAGGGATGGAGACCTCTGTGGAGCAAGGAGCTTGGGGAGGCCCTGAAACAGACTGGCCCCTGCTGGTGAGCTGGCCCACAGGGTCCCTCCTAGCCGGAGGAAGCCGGTCTCCTCACGTCCCATTTGCTACAAACCTGAGGAAGTGGCGGCTGCAACTTGGCACCATCTCAGGGGACCCATTGTCTTGGAAACTTCCAGATTCAAGATGGCAGCCACAGAGAAAGGAAAAATGGACAGAAGACTTTGGACGATTATCAGGAAACTCTGAACACTGTTGCCCAAGGAGAAGGCACCAGCCCCCACTGCGTTTTCTCCCCACGGTAGGTCCTAGTAGTATGCCCATTTCACAGACAAGGAGACTGAGGCTGAAAGAGGTGAGTGAGTGGCAGAGTAGAGCTGGAAGCAGTGCTGCTGCCGCCGCGCCCCATGCTCTCCAGGGTCCCCAGTGTGCCCTGCACGACCGCTTCTCCCCGTGTGTGTTTGCAGTGTGACCTCACTGTTTTCTTAGTAGACATGGAAACTAATTAGCTTGGCTGGTTATTGAGCCACAGGCACTGCCTCTGGAGCCCCCAGGATGTTTTTCATGAGCATCTTGTGCAACGCTCACAGAATCAGAGGAAAAGAGCAAGAAAGGCGAATCAGAGAAGCAGTGACCCCGGCCAGAATGGCCCAGCTGGTCATAGCCACCACAGGGCCTCCTCAGACCGGACAGGGACAGACAGAGCCACAGGGGTGTGGGGTGCTCCAGTGTAAAGTTCTGACCTTTCTTTCTAGGAAGAGAGGCTGCCCGAGTGGGAGGCAACGGCTTCAGGGTCAGCCTCTGCCAGTGCCCTGCGGGAGGCCCCTCACCCTCTGCTGCCTACACTGGCCTGTCCCCCTGGCAATGCCCAAGGCTTTGTCCTTGCTGCTGGACTTGCTCACGAATTACTGCCCCCTGGGAGCAGCCGGGCCAAGCTGAAGAGCGCTGGGGCGTGAGCCTGCCAGGCTCAGGTCTCTCTCAGCATTCAAACCCCCAGGCCCTGCAAGTCCCCGGCTGCCCACAGTGCTACCTGCAGCCAAAGTGCTCTTCGTGGACTGCCCCCTCCCACCTTGTTCCCTGGGTCCCCTTCCGAGTATAACATTCACACCCCCTCCCTGTCTTGGGGTCTGGCCCGAAGAAACCCAAAGACAGAGCAATGGTTCCTGAATCCCAAAGGTGATTCTGAGATCTTCCCCACCCTGTGCCCCTGAGACCCCCTTCAGCCCACCTGAGTACAAAGGAGGCAGCCTGCCTGGATTAACCCCAGCGACTGTCCTTTTGGCTGTGTCACCTCTGGGCCCCAGGCTTCTCAGAGAGGGGAACGTCCTTGCCCCAGTGTTGTGAGGACTCAGGGAGGTACCCAGACACTGAGCAAAACCTCGATTTACAACTTTTAAAATGTCAGGAAGCATTTGCTCAATATCTATGTCACAAAAACCTTGTTCTGATCGACTTGCTATGTAGGTCACACAGCAGGCAAATGCCTAAAGAGAACAATTTCATGACCATTTTTAAAACTCCTCTTGCCCTGGGCTGGACCCATGTTCTCTGGAATGATGAATGAGAAGGAACTTGTTCTCTGCTGGCTTGGAGGAGCGACACACACACTCATCACAGCACCATGTGAAAAGTCCAAGATCATGGCCAGTGCCGGGGCTCAATAGGCTAATCCTCCACCTGCAGCACCAGCACATTGGGTTCTAGTCCCAGTCAGGGCACCAGATTCTGTCCCGGTTGTCCCTCTTCCAGGCCAGTTCTCTGCTGTGGGCCGGGAAGGCAGTGGAGGATGGCCCAATTGCTTGGGCCCTGCACCCGCATGGGAGACCAGGAGAAGCACCTGGCTCCTGGCTTTGGATCAGTGCGGTGCGCCAGCTGCAGCGGCCATTGGAGAGTGAACCAATGGTAAAAGGATGATCTTTCTCTCTGTCTCTTTTTCTCACTATCCACTCTGCCTGTCAAAAAAAAAAAAAAAAAAAGTTCAAGATCCATCTATACTGGGCACTGGTTCATTCTGGCTGCCAGGTCCTCATTCGCCCTGGGTTCCAGGACCAGGACCTAGATTACCCCCCAGAATCTGCTCCTTCCCACTCTAGTCCGATGCCAGGGGTGCTCAGATGACTTGGGCTAGGCCACAGCTGTTGGTTCAAAAATCAGCCCATGACCCTAGCCGGACCAATCAGATGCACTTCTAGGACTCCGTATCCTGGGGGAGTGAAGCCTTCTGCTAAACTTAAAGTCGGAGAGTGGAACAAGGGGCTTCCGGAAGCTTCCAGAGGCTACAGTAGAAGCCCTCACATATAAAGCACAATCGACAGCCAGAAGCAATCCCAGCTGCACAAGCTTAGCCCTCATCTCTGTGTCTGAAGCCAGCTCTGCCACCTGCACGTTTCTGTTGCATAAACCTGTGACTCCTCCTCCTCCTCCTCCTCCTCGACTTGCTCCTGAGCCGTTTGCCATCCAGAGTTTAGGCTTTGTGTAAGGTGCGCCCAGGACTCAGGGAAGGTGTGGGGAAGAGATCAGCCATTGCACGACAGGTGTGAGAAGACCCAGACTTTGAGCAATGAATACAGGTTTGTGTCTTGCTGATGGAGGCAGGGAAGAGCATGAGTGAGGCATGGAGGTGAGCTGGACTCCTTCAGTGAGGCTGGAGCACTGGAGGTGAGGTGGGGCTTTAGATCCACCTCGGACCTGTTGTCACCAGGGCTGCAGGGGGAGCGGATGGCGGGTGCCTGCGTGGCAAGTAGGAGCGGGAAACCAGATAGCCCCTGCCTGAGCCACACCTTGGAAACTGACACAGGCAGGCAGATAGGATCAATTGATTAGGCTTGTGAGCTGGAAGACCACGCCTTCACCACGCCCTGTGTAATCTCATCCCCCCCCCCCCGCCCCGCCTGACCACACCTGAATGCCCACATTTCCATCAGGCTATGTGCCCACGTCCCTTTGGAAGTGGATAAAAGGCCAGGAAAACAGTGGGCCCTGCCTTTCTCTTGCCATTATTGACCTTTGTTGCCCTTGTCGCCCCGTGCCTTCAGGCATGTGGCCTTTGGGCTGCCTGCTCTCTCTGCCTTTGCTTCCCTACCCGTGCTATGCTGCTTGTAGCTGCTCATAACCAAACGCCTGAGATACGTGGCTCCTGGCCTGCTCTCTGCTCGGTAGGCCCCAACTTAATTTCCGGACTTTCTTTTCTCCATTAGATAAAGCCCTCACTCCCCTATGCATTTATCTCACTAAATAAAAAGCTTAAAAATACTTATGCTGCCTGGCCTGTTTGAGCCAATATTCAAAATTCTCGTGGCAAGAACCCACACAGCTTATTAATTTTGGAAATACAGATAAGCAGATCAGTTTCACTGCTTGTTTTCCCATTCCTTCCCTGTGCTTGGCTTTAACTCTGAGTTCTGGCCCTAACACCTAATCCCATCCTTCTGTTTCTTAAGAGAGGGTCCTGTGTGCACAAACAGCGAAATCTTAACCTGCAGAACGAAAGACAGCAGAGAACAACTGGAACCCAAACGTCCCTGAGCCCTTTCAGCACAAAGGGTCCACTGGACAAGGAAATCCGGCGAGGGAGTCCATCTTACTATCCTTTGCTGGACATGGTTGGATCCCAGGTACCTACAATCCAAACTTAACTTGCCAGCTGTTCTTCCCTTACCCCTAACATTTTCCCCAGACCTACCTCTCTCAGTGATAAGAGGCTGGGTTAGGCCTTGCCGGTGCCGTGCAGACTTTATGAATGTCTCTTGGAGGAAATACCCAACCCCTCAAGCAGCTGTCTTAAGGGCTTAATACCCAAGAGTGGCAGCTGGGAACACGTGCCAAGTGGGGCTCTCAGGTGCCTCGGATAAGCTCATCATCTGGCCCACTTTGGCAGCCAAACGGAATTAGATTTGCTCTGCATCCCACAGAGGAGGGGCAGGGAGGGCAGGATGGATGCAGCTTCGGCCTTGGCTCCACACCCTGAGCGAGTCGGCTCCAGTCCACCCCCATGCTCCAGTGGCTTCTCAATGCTGCCTTTCAAATCCTCACAGTTCTCCCCAGATTTTCACAGCCCTTAAACCCTGGTGCCTCGAACAGATCCTCTCTGGCCCTTTCATCCCGTTTGGGGGTCACAGGAAGCTCCCTAAGAACCAGGACACGGTGTGGATTGCCGGAGGCTGCCGGGAGCTGACCTCAGCAACCTTGACTCCAGGTGTGGTCTGGGACCAGCACTAGCCTCACCTGGAAGTGCACTGGAAATGCAGGATCGGCCCTTCCCCCTACCTCCCTCTCGGGTGAGCCACGTGCCTGTGCGGCGCGGTGCTGGTCCATGAGCTGCGTGGAGCCAGCCCAACAGAGCAAAGTGCCTCAAAGCAACACTGAGGGCTTGCGCTGAGGACATGGTCACGAGCTGCGGCTTCTGTCCTGCGCAATTCCAAACTGTTCCATCACTTTCATAATGAAAAATGCCTCTTAAAATTTAAGAAAAGTGGAAACAGAATTATACAATGTTATAAAACTAGTTCAGAAGCAGAGTGGTTGTGCAGGCAGGCTTCAGCCCGGCCTCCTCCTTGCCAGAGCAGAGGGAGCTCTGGCTGCAAAGGGAGCTCATTACAGTGTGGGTCTTATCAAAAGTCAACAGAGACGCGCATTTCCGTGTGCACTGAAGTGAAGAGCACTGAACGATTGAAGCCTTCGTAAGAGTCTGACATGGTCGCCTTTCATTCATCGTTGTCCTCCTCTGCAGGGTGAAGACCTCTCCCCTTGCCGGAATTTCTCGAGGTTTTCAAGCCCCAAACCTGCTGACCTCAGACTTGGCCTCTTCGCTTGGTTCCCATGTGTGTCTCCTTCAACACTCAGCGTGAGCACCGTGGCTCAGGAAATCCTCTAGAGAGCGAGACCCCTTGGTCCTGTAGCAGGAAAACCAACCGAATGTCTTAAGCCAAAAACGGTAATTGTTGATTCAAAGAAAAGTCCAGGGGTTATCTGGCTTCCGGTATAGCTGGATCTGGGATCTCCAATGACATGGCCAGGAAACTGCCGGAGGACTAATCTCTCACCTTTCCTCTATGAGGCTCCAAGCTTAGGTGAGCTCTCATTTGGAGCCCCCATGGTAGCTCCAGGTTCTTAACCTCCCAGTCCCCAGATCCCCAACAGAGTGAGAACTTTGTTTTCCCATTTGTCCCTACAGAAGTGCCAGAGTCAAAGCTCACTAGCCAGATTTCTGTCACACACATGCCTTTGACTAATCACGGAAGTGGCCAAGGAGTGGAAGGGTCTAATTGGCCAGGGACGGGTACCTGCCCCAAACTGCGCCCCACTTGGGTCTCCCAAGGAAAATTCAGAAGTCAGGGCATGAGACTGGTTCCCATGTGGGTGGACAATGGCAGCAGCAGTTTCAAGGGACTCCTGTTCACTCTGCAACTTACCTGGGTGACATCGCTGACTTGTAAAACCTGCATTTTCCTCTGAGTGGTACCTGATAGCCTAACTAGACTGAAGCCCTAAGGGAGGGGATTATGTGGGCTTGCAGATAAGGGCATCCATGGAGCCTGAGCTAGTGGGTGTCCATCAAGTCTTTACTGAACGAATGGGATCAGTCCGAAGGCTTTCACAAGAGCTCTGCTTACTTACATTTATCAGACGGGTTCTGCAATGCCGGCAGTCAGGCTCCCCGTTTTGAATCAGGTTTGGCTATTGGCCAGAACCTCTGCCCTAGCTGTGCCTGGGACAGTCTGTGCCGGGAAGATGCTGTTCTGCAGACTGGGGGCACCTATCTGCCACATAGCCAATGACAACTGGAAACTGTGGTCCGACAGTGCAGCCCCTGGGGCAGGTGGCATCAGGAGAGGCAGAGGTCGGGGGTGCTGAGTGGCTGCACTGTCGCACTGGTCGTCTGTAAGGGGCCACCTCCAGCCTCACTGCCTCCCTCCATGCATTTCAGAGCAGTGCTGAGGTCTGGAGCAGCACACAGGTGTCCATCTCCCACCCATCAGAGCCAGTACTTGACTGTGAGTCCTCAGACAAGCTCAGGTTCAAGTGCAGGCTCTGCTGCCAGTTTCCTGGGTGACTTTGAGCCAGTCTCTGTACCTGTGTTGTGGGCACAGCTGTCCTGGTGTGATGGCAGTTCAGTGAAGTGGTGTGACATCGCACACTCAGGTGCTGCCCTACCTGTAACCGAGAGAGAGGGAAGGCCACCCAGGGGTCTCCTTTGAGTTTTGAGTTCAACTAGAAAATGAGATCCACACATAACCAGGGTGCATACTTGTTGTGCACCTGTTGCTCGGGACACAGTCCGGGAAGCAGCTCGCTGGAGGGCAGCACTGGGCCCCTCCCACCCGCAGGAGACCCCACAGCAGTTGGTCCCCAGATCTGCACTGGCAGCTCAATGTGAGCCTTAGGCCAGGGCCTGCAGGAACCAACATCTCCCTAACAACAGCTCCACGTGCAGAGCTGCCGGGGGCCTGCAGGGGCCATGCCAGACACAAGAGGCACCACACATGGGAAGGTCCAACATTTTGACACCTCTGTCATGCATTCATTTTCATTCTTGGTCCTCGTAATTCAGGCACAATTCACCTGCCAAGGGTCATTTGAACATAAGCAGTGTTGCCTGGCAACACAGCCACCATTCCACCTTTATCCAGTTTCTAGGGTTAGCACAATGGTTAAGTTACCCAAGGTCAAATTTGTTCTTAAGAAAGAATTTTGTTAACCCTTTACCCACACTTTTTTAATGATTAATTTTATGTATTTGAAAGGCAGAGAGACAGAGAGGGAAAAGAGAGACGGACCGAGGTCTCCCATCCACTAGATCTCTTCCAAACTTGCCAGCAACATGGGGGGGCGGGGGGCGGGGCTTGGAGCCAGGAATTCAATCCAGGTCTCCATGCAAGTGGCAGGAACTGAGCCACCTGAGCCAACACTACTGCATCCTAGGATGCTCACTGACAGAAAGGGCGGCTCAAAGCAGAGCCAGGACCCAAACTCAACGCTCCAACAGGGGTGCGAGCATCCCAAGTGGAATCCCAAGTGTTGCAGCAACTGCCCACTCTGTAAGTATTTGTTTATTTATTTATGACAGGCAGAGTGGACAGTGAGAGAGAGAGACAGAGAGAAAGGTCTTCCTTTTGCTGTTGGTTCACCCTCCAATGGCCACCGTGGCCGGCGCATCGCGCTGATCCGAAGCCAGGAGCCAGGTGCTTCTCCTGGTCTCCCATGCGGGTGCAGGGCCCAAGCACTTGGGCCATCCTCCACTGCACTCCCGGGCCACAGCAGAGAGCTGGACTGGAAGAGGGGCAACCAGGACAGAATCCAGCACCCCGACCGGGACTAGAACCCTGTGTGCCGGCGCCGCAAGGCGGAGGATTAGCCTATTGAGCCACGGCGCCGGCCCACTCTGTAAGTATTTAACACTGTCCTCTCCCTCCCCTATGCGTGAGCACACATGTGTGCCCGCACACACCTACTTGGCCTTCCCTTGAATCCTTGGCTTTCTCCCAGCTCCCAATGGCATTCAGCTTTTCAGGGAAAAAAATAGAAAGCAGAAACACAGGGAGATCAAAAAGTTTTGGGTTTCCAAAGCCTGGATACTTTAGCTGCAAATGCTGGAACTTTGTATTCGGAGGCCAAGATCTGTAAGTTGCAAACTGTTTCTGTTTTTCTGAGTCTGGCCTTTGGCTTTCAAACTTTGAAGTTCCTAGGCAGAGCATGGGCTCACGTTCTGATGGAGAGGCTTGGGGAGACGAGAGGAAGAGCTGGACCTCAAGTTGTCAAATGATTCTCCTGTCTGAGGGAGGGACCTTGTGAGGAAGGAGGCCACTGGGGTCTGGACAAGAGGCCTGGGCCTGTGGGCACCTTGGCTGCTGTGTGGGTAACTGGTGAGGACCATCGCTAGGACGTGTCTCAGCTCCAGGACCCCCGCCACGTGCTGAGCATGCCTGGAGCCTGGCAAGCAGCTGGTGGCCAGGACGGAAGCCTGTGAGGCTGCATTCAGGTGAATTTGGGCAGGACCAACCTGACATCACCCCGACAGGTGGAGCAGTTGGTAACCTTGGGCCCATCCCCCTGATCGCCCATGCTCCAGAGAACTCAGAGTGTCAGGCGTCTGACCACGTCTCCATAACGTCACACCCTCTTACTGCAGGGTACAGAAATAAACAAAACCAAGAAGCAGCCCCTCGGAGCTTGTGTTCTAATGAGGGAGCTGGGTAAGCGCAGGCCCAGATCTGGTACCTTCGGACGGAGGACAAAGCAAGATGAAGCAAGGTGGTTTCTGAGGACGATGGCCTCTGGGGTGGATGTGGGAATCCACCTGACTGTGTCCAGCACAGGCCTGGCGTTCGGTTGGTGCTAACTATAGTCATGCCCTAGCCTGCTCTCCTGTGCTGCTGCCTGCGTGGCCATCGGGACCCAGCTCCTGCCCAGCTGTGGAGCTGTGGCCATCAGCTGAGGACACAATGGAATTGCAGCTCCACCAGAAATTCCCAGAAGCTCAGTTCCCGCCAACCAGATGTTCCCACGCCTTCCTCAGACAGATCAGTGTCCTAGCAACTGGAAAAGGGAGAACCGGTCTGTTTCTCTCTGGGAACAGCATGGACAGAAGGCATGTGGGTAAGCCCAGCTCTTGGTGAGGCCTTGGTGAAGCCCCAAGGCAGGGCATGCGTTGGGCAAAGAGAGTATACCTTTGAAGGCCCTCCACTGTGTCCCCGTCTCATGGACGAGCCCAGTTCCCTGCTCAGTGGCTCTCTGATGCCTTTCAGAGCAAAGAGAATGAGGCTCTTGATTTTCTCCAACAAACCTGTTCCCCTGCCGGCCTCTGGACCCCGTCTGTGGCTCAGCTTGGTTTAGGGTTCCCCGACCGCCCAGCATCCCGGGAGGGCTCCCCACCTGCCCCTCGGCTCTCACTCTCCCAGGCTGACCACTGGCACATTCAGGAGGCTCTGTCTTCAGGGCAGCCCCACGTCTCCGTCTGCAGTGCTGCTGCTGCCCACTAGCTACAACCTCAGTGCCCACGAGTCTGTGTTGGTGCTCGCCGGGGGGCAGGTGAGGCAGCCCTGCCCGTCCCCACTGGGCTCAGCCATGTGTCTGGGGGTGGAGGACTGTGGGCTGAGGTGGGTCGACCTTGGCCTGGGGCAGCTGTCCATGGCTGTCGTCCTCCTGGGGCTGGCCCAGGATGTGGTGATGGCAGAGGCCTGGAGTGAGCGAGCCCCGAGGGCACAGGCTCACGCTTGCCTCTGCCAGTGTCCCATGGGCTGGCAGCCCATTGTCCAAGCTAACCCGGAGTAAAGGAGCAGGGGCTGTGAAGTTACACACAGAGGAGGGGGCTGCGGGCGGACAGGAGAATTAGGACCCACCGGAATGGTCTCCCAGCTGCTCTGCGTCCTGTGGCCACTGCCTTGCCCCAGGCCGCCCCAGCCCAGTTCTAGACGCCTCCCCACTGGCATCCTGTCGTGCCCTCTGTTCCTGTGCAGAATGGACTCCTGCAGGCCATACCTCAGCTAGAATCTTGAGGAAGCTTAGGAGACGGATATCTCACCGTGTCCTTCCTTGGCTTAAAACCACCTACAGCTTCCTGTTGCCCTTAGAGTGAAATCCAGACTCCTCATTTAAGGTCCTTGGGATCAGGCATTGCTGTTTCCCCAAAGTCACTTCTAGCCACTGCCTCCTTCCCTCTGTGTCTCCCTGCCACTGAGTTCTCAATGAGTGCTTCCTACAGCCTAAGTTTGCTCTCCTCTTAGTGTTCCCGCAGGTGCTGTTCGCTGCACCCTGACACTCTCCCCCTGCTTGTCTTCAGGCTGCCCCCTCCCTCTATTTGAAACTCTGCTGAAATGCCACCTCCTCCAGGAAGTCTTCCCTCATCACCCTCCCTGAAGTCGCTTCCGTGTTGTCACTGCACAACTCCTTTTGGTCTTCACTCGGTGTATCTCATAGTGCCTAACTCCTTTCCCATTTTCTTCCCCCCTTGCCACTCAAGTGGAAGCGCCATGGAAGTAAGGACATTGCCCACCCTTTCCACCTGTATACCCTGCTCCATCATGTAGTGGATTGTCATGGTGGATAAGGTTGCTTTCTGCAGGTGCTGTCTCACTATCTAGTCCCTCGCTGGCTCCACAGCACCTAAGCTCCAAGGACCTCGTCTAAGGGATTCTGGCACCTGCTGGCTGGTGCACAGCATGGAGCTGGATAAAGGGACCCTGACTCAAAGTGGAGCAGACTGGCCAGTCACAGCCTCATCACAAGC